TTGAGATGAAGAGATTATCCTGCATTACATGGGAGAACTTGATGTAGTCGCAGAGGTCCTCATAGGAAGGAGCAGGGGGGCCCAGAGCTGGGGAGACCATGTGATGATGAAAAAATAGAAGTTGGAATGATTCTGGGCCATAAACCAAGGAATTTAGAAGGCTTCCAGAAGCTGGAAAAAGCAAGGAAACACTTTCTGTCCAGAGCAAAAACAATAGTAAACTAATACTGATTTGGTATTAGCTTTGTACTGCTAGCATAGCTAATGAACGCAAACTTAGTGGCTTATAATAACAAAGTGATTATCTTACAGCCCTGGACATCAAAAACCTCCAGTGCATCCCCAGGACTATTTCTTTTGGAGGCTTTCAAGGAAAACTTGCTCTTTGTTTTTTCTAGCATGTGGAGGCCACCTGCATTCCTGGGCTCAAAGCCACCTCTCTCTAGCCTTGAGCAATAGCACACCATCTCAGGAAGATTTTTGTGGCTGTTTGTTACTCAGTATTATCACAGCAATAGGTGACTGATACATAAAAGCAGATAAAACACATTGATGTCCATACATGGAGACAACTCTTGCAAAGCAAGACCTCCTACATATCAAGTGACTGATACAGACAGAAAGTACAGATGGAGAAGAGAAGTGGATGCCTGACAAAGGGGTATTTGAATCGAATCTTCAGCAGTAGAAATGGGACCAGCACAGAGAAGAGTGGTGTTCTAGGTAGGGGAAATAAAAAGCAAATAAAAGCCATGTTTATTTATTTATTTTTTTTTGTTTTTTCTCCAGTACCGGGAACCGAACTCACGACCTTGCGCTTGCCAGGCAGGCGCTTTTGCCGCTGAGCTAAACCCCCAGCCCTAAAAGCCATGTTTAGAACCTTGGTCAGCCTAGAAGGGATGCTTTGGGTGGCACAAAGAGGAACAGAAAGATGACAAGGCTGCTGTGGCCAGAGTATGTGGTGAACTAGGCCCAAGGGTTTGGCTCTCTCTCTGGTCCCTGGTGGCACCAAATGCCTTTAACCCAAACCACAATAGTGTGAAAGTGATGTTTCCCAAAGCACAATCTGGGGGCAGGCTGTGTTTTTCAAAGAAGGCAAGGCCACCACTTGGGAGGAAAAAGGGACAGGTGTCTCTCTGCCCATAGATGTTACCTGCAGCTTTCTGCTAAAAATTGCATTGTCCTTAACAATTCTTTTCAAAATTTTCTAAACAAAACAGATTCAGCTGCACACTGCATAATGTTTAGTGAATGCCATGGGTGCTGTACCCTGAGTTTTAGGGTGTGTCTGTGGCTTTCTGGTCCTTGATTGCTGCTCTGTTACATCCCTAAGGGACCAGGAAGTGGAGGAAAGAGGAGAAAGATTCAGCACCCTTGAAGATCTTAAGAATCTTGCATGCAGTAAATTAGGAAACAGTTGGGACCTCTGGGCTCCCAGTTTCAACTCTGAGGTCCAGCTGAGAAAACCCAGAGGGAGAGAAGCCAGGAGTCTTAGTCCTTTATTCTCCCAACAATATAGTGTCGCACATATTTACACCCCTGGCCCACTGGCGAGCCTAGTGATACAGAGAATTTGAGTTTTTAAAAAATTCACCTTGCTGATTATGAATGTGTAAATCCTTCTGCTATTTGATGAACTGAATCTTATTTTTCCCTGGAGACCATCAGCAAAGTGATTTCCCTTGGTTGATGTGGGTTAAACACTATATTGATCCACCCCATTATAAATGGCTTCCCTGCTTTCATTCTGTTGGCGATATGACATTGTGAGTGGTATGAACCCCTCCCCCCCAATACGATTTTACTGTGTGAAAGCCTCTGTGCTATATGGATCTGCAGAGACTTAAAAAGTCCTTTCTTCCTCCCAACCCACTCACCCACATATACTCATTTCTCACTCCTTTCTCCTTTGATTTGTGCTTGGGAAGATTCTGTTTTGGTGTAAACTTGAATTTTTTCACCTGGTTGCCAGGCAACAGAAACCACCCAGTTGGGATGCACGTAATGTTAGATTGTCCCCGGCAGCCTCGAGGCTGGACCTGCCAAAACACCAGTGTGTGCGTCTGTGTATGTGTGTGTGTGTTGGGGGGGGGATTACGTGGGCTGCTGGTTAGGAGGCAGGTGTCCAGAGCTTCTGTAACCAGTGCTCCTGGGCAGGTGGGGGAGATGCCCAGGAATTGGTTTTTCAAAAGTGGCCCTTGTGACCGCAGGTGGTTACAGGTGCTTAAGTATCAAATAGCTTCGAGATGGAGCTGCTTGAACTTCTAGAAGAGACAAAAGCTGAGGGAACTGGCAGGAACAGAGCTCCAGTCTGTTTATTTTTCTGTTTCATCCTACCCCATCCACCATCCCACCCTACCCCATCTTGTCCTATCCAAGTGTCTTGCATATAGGAACTCAATCCTACTGCAAACCAATGCAGTCATAGCATCTATATTCTATATTACAGTGAAGAAACAGAAGAACAGAGGTAAGGTAGCTTACCCAAAGTTAGCTTATGCACAGTTAGGAAGCAGAGGAGCTTGGATTTGAACCAAGATAGTCTGGGTCTTGGCAGCATGGAGTGGCAGATTAGGATGCAAGCTCTTGGCATGGACAGCTTGGATTTAGATCCTACCTCTAACATTTATTAGCTGTCAGCCTTGCACACGCTCCCTGATCTCTCTACACCTCAGTGTCCTAATCTTTTCCTTCCCCCTTTCTGTGCCGGGAATTGAACCCAGGGACTTTGCATTGAGCTATATCCCCAGGCTTTTCTTTTTTATTTTGAGACAGGGTTTCACTAAATTGCTAAGTTGCCCAGGCTAGATTTGAACTTGTAATCCTGCCTCAGCCTCCCAGAGTGAGCCATGATGACTAGCTTAGTTTCGAAAGCCTTAACTTGGGAAGAGTACAGTCATGCACTGGGATAACGACTCAGGGGCATAGTGAAAAATTCAGAAGGTGCACCAGTCGTTAAGCGTCAGGTGCCTGTAAACGACAACATGCCAGCGCACTCTTGTGAAGACTGGCTGTTATGGTTTGTGTCTGTGTGTCCCCCCAAAGCCTCACGCGGTCATGGGGCAGGCTTTTAGAGTTTGATTGATTATGGGTGTGAGAGCTACACCCACCCTGGGGTGGATAGTTTGCATATGTAAGGGAGAGGAAGAGGCTGCTTGGGGCCATTCCTCCCTTTTAGGTTTTGTTGCTTTGCTGTGCTCTGCCGCCCTGAGCTGTAGCCCTCTGCCATGTGCCACTCTGCCTTGTAACCTGCCAAGTATGGACTAAAACCTCCACAAACTGTAAGTGAAATAAACCTTTCCTTCCTTAATTTTGGGCATCAGGTATTTTGTCCCAGCAATGAGAAAAAAGTAACCAAGACACCGGCTTTTCATCACCACTAGCCATCATTTCCATTAGCTGACATACATTTTGCAGGACAAAAAGGAATACAGTACTGAGAAGAATTCTTTGATTCTCATTCTGTCTCTGACCTTCACACTTGACCTTGGACATTATGAGGCTCAGGGGTGGGGCTGAGGAGTTAGGAATGATGTGTGTATGTGGGGGAGCGATGCTAGAGAAATTATCTTGTACTTTAAAAAGCTGAATATCACTCGGGTGCAGCAGCACATACCTGTAATCCCAGCACTCTGGGAGGCTGAGGGAGGAGGATTGCAAGTTTGAACCCAGCCTGAACAATTTAGCAATTTAACAAGACCTGGTCTCAAAATCTATTTTTTTTTTTTTCTGGTACTGGGATTTGAACTCATGACCTCACACAGCCAGGCAGGTGCTGTGCCTCTGAGCTATAGTCCTAGCCCTTAAAAAACTAAAAATAAAAAGGGACTGGGAATATAAAGGCCCTGGCTTTAATCTTGAGTACTGAGAAAAAAAGAGAGCTGAATGTCTAGTGGTCCGTGGTTTCTAATCAGGAAACTGGTGTGAATGTCAAACGGCCATAGCATACAAATGGCCATGTCCAGACTTGCAAGACAAAGTCACCCCCACAAAGTCACCCCCCTCTCGACCAATCTGTCCCTTTAGTGTGACCAACCTGCCAGGCATTTGAGATCCACACCTCTTTGTCTGCTTTTGCAACACTTGTGAGATCCTTCCTTTGGAACTGGCTCTGAAACCAGCTAGGAACACAACTCCAAGGGTCCTTGGGCTGTGAGTGGGGGAGGAAGGGCTGAGGGTGAGGGTGAAGGTGGTGTGGACTGTTGCTGTGGCTCTTCCACAGGTGGCTGTGATGGATGGGAGAGCAGTGGTGGATAGGATTCAAGGTGGCGCCACGCAGGTGCACATCAGGACCCAAGATCTATCCCTCTCCAGCTGCTGGAAGTGTCCTCAGGGCTCAGCCCCTCGTGGTGGCTTCAGCTGGAGAGGGCTGCCTGGCACAAGAAGGACTAACACAGAAGCAGAAAGCCTGGCCTTCTAGCTGAGCATGGTGCTAACAACTATAAACCCAACACTCAGGGAGGCTGAGGCAGGAGGGTCACAAGTTTGAGCCTAGCCTGGGCAATTTAGTGCCTTAGGGAGAACTTGTGTCACACACACACATACACAAACAAACAAACAAACAAGGCTAGGAGCACAGCTCAGGGCAAAGGCCCTGGGTTCAATCTCCAGTACCAAAAACAAATAAACAACAACAAAACAGGAACCAAGTCTGCAATCAGGGCACCCCTGACAGATCACCTTTATTATTTATTTAATATTTATTTTGCAGTGCTGTCGGTGGAACCCAGGGCTCTCCGCCTGGATGATAAGTGCTCTGCTACTGAGCAGCACCCCAACCCCTGAGGTCATCTCTAGAACTCCCTGCACGGCTGGCTGAAACCTCTGTCGTGACAATGTGGCAGCTTGGGCCTCCAGTGACCAGCTGAACTTCCTCCCCCATCCCCAGGGCACCCCTTTATCAGCCTCCAGCCAACTGTGTGGCTTTCAGGGCACCTGATTGTGACAACCCCCCAAAGCATGAGAAATTCCAAGCACACGCAACCAAAGACCACAGCCAACCAAGTTGAATCCACTTTTTAATATTTTAACCATAATGCAAACAGGCATAAATAGACTTTTGTTGAATCCCATAAAATTAGAAGATGAGAACTATACAGAAGAAGAGCATGCGGCAAACGGAGCCTGGGCAACCTCTTGAGGAGCTTGGGGTGGGCGTCGGTCCTTGGAGGAAGGTTCTGGAGCACATGGGACACTCGGCAGAGATTAGCAGCATTGAGAGCTCAGAGGTACGGGACATCTGAGTTTTGGACAGCGCGTGCGTGGTGAGATGGGACCCTGGCTCCACCCACCCCACCCGTTTCCTCCTCCTCACCATGGACACCCGTGGGGACAGACACAGGAGCCTGCAGTCTCGCTTTCTGGGCCTGGAGTGGGTCTTAAAGTCACAGTGACAACACAAACAGCAAGAACGGTGGAGGCAGAGTGCAGGGTACAGGGAGCCTCAGACCCAGAGGGAGGTCGCTGGGCCAAGGGGGTCTTTGTTAGAACCCACGTCCAGGATGCAGCATCGATCCAAACAGAGTCACTCATCCTTCTGGCTCGGAAGGGGTTTGTGAAGCCATACTACTTCCTCCCCCTACAAATCCCTCGGGTCTCAGTGTGCTGGAGGATAAAAGGAAATGACCACTGGGTGGAAGAAAGCTCTACTAGCCATCTCCAGAAGGTCTATCAGAGCAGTCCTGGGCTGGCTACTAGGCACTCTCTTGCTCCTCAAGTCCAAGAGCAATGGTTCTTATCTAAGGGATGTGTGTGTGGAGCTACTGCCCTCTAAGGTGACATTGGGCACTGTCTGATGACCTGTTTGATTGTTTCAATTGGCATCTAGTAGGTGGAGGTCATGGGTACTCAGCATCCTATAATATCAGGACAGCCCCCATGACGAAGGACAATCCAGCTCCAAATGCCAACCACTCTGGAGTTGTCAGATTCTGCGCTAGAGTCGCCTGCAGGTTGGGGACCAAATCTGGGCACTTTCAATGTCCCAGAGTCATTGTCTAAAAGACTGCATTAAGGCACATTTGCCTCTGCCTGCCAGGGCCACCATGTTAATGACTGACTGGGGTGGACCCAATGTCCTGCTTAACCAGAACTGTTTAGATACCTGAGGACAAAACAAACCCATAAATGCTGCTTATGACACAGATATCTTGGTGATGGGGCCCATGATGAGACTCAGGTAGAGGTCAAATTCATTTATGCTTCTTATACCCACAGCTCGGGGGTGATTTGATGCAATATTTTAAGTAATTTTGTGCATAAAATGATTCCACTTGTGGGTGTCATGTTGGCGCTCAAAAAGTTTTAAATTTTGGAGCTTTTTGGATTTTGAGATTAGGGATGAGCAACCTGCAATTGAAAATAGGTGATTAGAGGGTACCTGGGTTCTCATACTTCAGGTACAGCAAGGTCTGGGAGAGGTAACTTTTCCTCTTGGGTTCTCCCTGGTGGGGCTGGCAGTGGACGAGGATGGGTGAGGAGAGAGAGGCCAGGCCAGCATTGCCCCCCGCAAAGGCCAAGTCCATGTCTGTGGTGATCGTTCATATTGGGGCTTTGGAAAGCAAGGCTCCCGGTCAGGTGACATAAGCACACATGGCTGATTACAGCATAGTCTAGAAGCGCACGGTTCTCCAGGGGTGAAAAGGGGGGCTGTGCTTTGAGCTGATACCATAAAGGCGGAGGGGCCCAGATGTCCGCTTGTCCAGCTCGGCAGGAACCATTTGCTCCTCGATCTGGGTCAGGACACTTCTCTTGACCTTGAGTTTAGGGCAAATCCTGACCTCCTGGGAAACCTGAAGCAGGTGGCTGCAGTGTTTGGCAGGAAAACCCTGTGCGCTTAGGCCAGCATCCCCGGACTGGGGGTCACTTTTCTTTCTGTGAACCTAGACTTGGCGGGACCTTAGCAGGTGTCACCCTGAGCTCTGGGAGAAGCTGGCCATCACATAAACCCCACAAATCCACCTTCCCTGGGGCTGTCCTTAATGACCAGGCTCCGCTCTCAAATAGAGGCAAGGCTGTGATTTCGCTGTCCTCACCTTCCACCGGACAGGCATCAGGTCCTCAGATTCAGCCCCTGGAATCTGTACTGGCCCAACTGCCTCCTCCCTTGCTGGAATCTCGGCCATGGCAGTGCCCCACCAGGGACTCAACAGATGAGCCATGCATACTCTAGGCTAAGGCCACGAGCTCCTTTCCCAAGCATAACTTCTGCCACTTTAATTCCCCTTTCTAAAAGGACCCTGAAGAGCCCGGTGTGGTGGCACACGCCTGTTATACCAGCATTGCAGAAACTGAGGCAGGGAGAACTCAAGTTTGAAACCAGCCTGGGCAACTTAGTGAGACCCTGTCTCAAAATAAAAAATAAAAAGGGCTGGTAGATCACCTGTGAATTTGACTTCCTGTACTATAAAACCAAAGCAAACCAAACCACCCACAAGGACTCCCTGTTCCCTACTAATTAAAATCTAAATCCCTTGATATTTACTGACTCTGTCTCTGTCTGGCTCCTGGCCATCTTCCTTGCGTGCTTCCCTGCCCCCACCCCCAGGCTTCCAATCCAGCTCTGATTCACCCACTCTCTCTGTGCACGCCGTTCCTCTCGTTCCATCCACTCCCTGCCAAACTCTTCCCTTCCAAGGTCTACCTGCGAAATCCCACCTGCTTCTCAGACCCCGGACGTCTGCATCAATTCTGAGAATGGCGTCTCAGCCCACCGGACTCTAACCTTCGGCAGGAACTCAACTGTGTTTTCCTTTTCTCTGTCTGCACTATGGTGCCTTCCCCACCGTGGAGACGCAAGATGTGTGATGAAGTAAGTGAAAAGTGAAAACCGTGTTAACGTGTGGGCTGGCTATTGTAACTGGGCCTTGTCTCATCCAATCCACCTGGCTGTACAGGTGGGTCTGTAGCTCAGAAAGGTCAGGTAGCCGTCTGTATAAATGGGGGCAGAGTTAGAATCTGAACTCAGGTCCATTTCCAAAGCTCCATTTCCGTTTCCCCCCAAAGAAAGATGCCTGGCCGTCTCGCCCCAAAGACACCGAGGAAGGCCTCTCTCCTTCCATGGGGTCACTGCATCTGCCCTTCCACACACAGGCAGGACCCCCATTCTTGGGTTAGTTCATTCCTCTTGCTCTCACCCACTTCCATGAAGTGGGGTCAGAGACACTGTAGGTCAGAAATGGCACAACCCAGGGTTACTCCCAAATACTCAGGGCACCCTATTTTTGCTCACCTATTGCTAACCACGCATTTTACGCCTATTGCGGGCCGTGGAGCTAACTAAAAACCACCAGCAGAGGGCAGTATTTACCCACCCTGGATCAGTGCTAAACCCCATCCTGTCTCCTCTCTGCATCTTGATGGGACTTTCCCGACAGCCCAGCTTTCTGGTACCAGGAATCCTGGCAAATGAAAGAGATGTATCAGATCGGCCTTCTGTATTCTAGCAGCTCGTGTCAGGAGATGAAAGGTCTACTTAAAAAAAAGGCCTGCGTGGGAAGAAAGAGGAATCCTGCTTATACAGTCATTTCTTGGACTATGGCAAATGAAGGGATGTTTCCACCTGCTGCGTGAAGGGCAAGGGTGCACAGGAAGGTGCACAGCAAATGCTCCTTATTCAGCAGTGGAAATCCTTCTCGCAGAGAGCTTGATTCATAGAGGGGAGCTCGAATCGATCCCTCTTTGATGGAGGTTGGACATAGCAGTTCAGTCCTGGGGAAAGCGTCCTCAAAGGTTCAAAAATTTGAGAAGGAAGTGCCTGGGAGGAAAGTTACTAGGAGCCAGCACTGTATTGGCAGGAGAGGAGGCAGTTACACCTGGCTTCCCTTCAGCTTGGCAAGGTCAATACCTTGGGGTGCTGAGTGCTTAGTCTCTCTACCTGTGACAGACTGAGATGGGAAAACGAGGGTTAGAGGAAGACAGGTGAGATTATAACTGGGACCAACTCACCTTGCCAAGGCTGGGACCCCAGTGGGCTGCCAGTGAGAGCAGGAAAAAGACACGGATTGACTTTTAAGAATCTTGGAATTGGAGCCCTAAGGATGTTGGTACCTGTGACCCCCTCCTCAGGAGGGCCACAGCACTTTCTCACTGGCAGGCCCCAAACTGAACACCAGGAAAGAAAACCTGTGCACAGGACATAAAGGAAACATAGTTTGTCCACCAGAACAAGATGAGACAGAATTACATAACTAGGGACACCGCACTGACTTCCATCCCCCAAGGCTGGGGTCACAAGGACTTCCTGGCTTTCTCTAGATGCTGCCTGATACTAATTTTTAGTGTTGACATGTAGAAGGGACCCTTCAATCCCAATTACTCTGAGAGGACAAATACAGCAGGATGCTGAGAGAGAAACTGCATTGGCCCTAATCCCTAGTAAAGATTTCGCCGTCCACTTTCTGGATGAATCAAGGATGTTTGTTGAAATTATTTTAGCAGATTAAAGAATGAGGGGATCAATGTTAGAGGGTTGAAAGTGTGAGGATCATATTCTTCCCACCTGGACAGGGGGGTTTCCTGTTAAGATATTTCTCTCAACTTGGTTCCTTTCACCTCTTTTATTTGTGGTACTGGGATTGAACCTAGGGCTTTCGTACTAGGCTACATCTCCAGCGCTTTTTAAAATTTTGAGACGGTCTCACTGAGCCTGTCCATTGCCCAGGCTGGGTTCGAACCTGCCATCCTTCTGCCTCAGCCTCCCGGAGTGCTGGGGTCACAGGCGTGCACCACCACATCCTGCTTTCACCTAATCCCTTTAGTTATTTTATCCCAAAGCTGAATCAGCAAGCCCTTCCTGGTTGAATAGCAAAGTACCAATCGCCTTCCTCCTTGACATTCCTACCAGGCTCCAAAATGTTGACGTTCGATTCATTCATATTCTTTAGGTTCATAATATGATGAGCGGAAACAAAGGACAAGGGACTGATCCCAGGTCTCCCAGTGGCACAGTGAGAAGATCCTTATTCCCAGACAGCATTCATTCTGGGCCTCGCGGGTGGATGCCTGGGGAGAGTCTGTGAGTGTGGTCACATCAGGGGCCCCTGGCTGGGCAGGGAGTTCATTTCCTAGCGAGGACATGAACTGCATCAAAACCTAGATTCATCCAATGCTGTGATGCTCTCTTTTGCAGGGAGATTTTCCCCTTAATCTTCACCTCCCCTCCCTCTTCCCCGACCTTTTTATCAGGACAGTTAGGGGGCTTTCTAGTGTCTCAGGGACATCGGCACAGACTCTGAATTTAGGGCACCTGAGGAAACAGCATGGGCCGGCGGGACATTTCTCGGCATCAAGGGTCTTCCGCCAAGGCGTGGGACTCAGACCTAAGAGGAACACATCCACACGCACAAAGGACACAGGGAGCCGGGCCGGCCGCACGCACGACCAAAACGCATCCCGAGAAAGGATGGGGGACTCGAGCGGCAGAGAGACTGGCTCAGGCTTCTGTCCCGGGCCCGCAGCCTTTCCAGGGACCCCCCGACCGGGACAAACCCTAACAGGAGCGACGGCCGTGATCCAATGGTTTCATGCACCCGCGGTTTGCTTTGGCAGCCAGAAAGCGGGGAGGACACGGTTGTGGAGGAGCCACTGCGGGTCATAAAGGCATCGCACTGCAGCAGGAGAACTCAAGGAGAAAGTCCAGGAGGCCTGGGGACACCACGGAGGGGGCAGAACCCCGAAGAGGGAAACCAGGACGCAGCGACAGGACGAGAGGTGGAACGGGGCCGCACAGGGTCCCAGAGGAAAGGTTCAGCCGTGTGTCCACCTAGGAAAGCCGCGGCCATCCTCACGGGAGCACTTGGGGCGCCACCTGCCATCCCTCTGGGCAACTGGGTCCACTTAGGAGCTGAAAACCCTGTTGGAGGAGAAGGGGACAGAATCAGTGCCACGGCAGCCAGGTGCTCTGCTTCCTTCCAGAGACGGGGGTGGCGGGCAGCGCCTCAGGTTGGGCTTGGGGCTTGATGTGTCTCATGTATTCTGTGGCCCGAGTGTTGTTGGGGCCTGAATGAATGAATCAGTGAATGTCATCAGCACAGCTGGACAGGAATGAGACTTCTGACTATCGAGGACGGTGTAATCTTCAATTATGTGAGCCCGGTGGACACTGTGTTATGTTTTTGTGGTATCGAGGATCAAACCCACAGGTTCCCTACCACCGAGCTACATCATCCCAGCCCCTTTTAGGATCCATTTTGAGACATGGTCTTCCTAAGTTGCCCAGGTGGGACTTGAACTTGTCACCCTCAGCCTCCCAAAGTGCTGGATGACAGGTAAGCCCCACCGCGCCTGGCTACAAAGCCTGTGCTGAGGTAGATGTGTCGTCTTCAAGAGTAAAAGGAAAAGGCGCGGAGTCTGAAGAAGTGACAGTGTCCCTTGTGCTACAGAAAAGGAGGCAGCTGGGTTGTGACCTGCGTTAAGGGCAGAGGCACGTGGCAGGGGACAGGGAAGGGCGCTGGGAGGTGAGACTGCAGTGGAGGTCACTGTGTCACAGAGGTGAGGTGAGGTTTAAATAGTGAGGCTCTGTCCCCATGTCGTGGTGCTGCAGGCTGTTTCCAGCAATTTCTACGGGATGGGTGAAGTTGTCAAAATCCCCTGGATTGTAATTTGTGCCAGGGAGAAAGCCCTCCCTAGTGTTTCTTTTTTTTTGAGGGGGGAGTTTTCAGGAAGCGCAATAGCAGAGGCAGATGGCTCACATTCCACTAGGGGGCGCCCCCATGGCAGGATACCAGTAACTGAAGCAAGGGGTCCCACACTCTAGGGACTCAGATCACCCAGGGAGCTTTTTATAAATTGTAGTACTGGGATTTAAACCCAGAACTTACTCACTGAGTTATAACCCCAGCCCTTTTTTATTTTTTATTTTGAGACAGAGTCTTGCTAAGTTGCAAAGTTGCCCAGGCTAGGCTTGAAATGGTGGTCCTCCTTCCTCAGCCTCCCAAACTGCTGGGATTATAGGTGTACGCCACCATGTCCAGCTGAGAGAGATTGTTAACATGCTAACTACTGCATCCTAACTCCCGAATTTCAGATTCAACAGATCTGGTCAGCCTGGGAATTTGTATTTCTATGGGGTCCACAGATGGCCCTGGTTTTGCTGGTCTGGTGAAGCCATGTCCCCATGGGAAAGTCAGATGTGTCTGTCCCCTGGACTGGAAGAGAAGGCCCTGCTCAGCCCTGGCTGGAGAGATGGAGGCAGCTTACTCATCCGTATCTTTTTTGCTCTCTTCAATGAAGGCAATGGACTCAGATCTAAGGCGGTTGGTCACTTCATATGTGCGCAGGGTGACTCCAAAAATGTCTTCATGGTACCGGTTGTCATCCTAGGGGATAGAAACAGCCAGAGAGCAGCCATCAAGTGCCAGCCCAGGGCTTGAAGAGGGGGCAAACATGCCGCTACTCTGGAAGGAAAAAGACCTAGAGAAGACGGTTCCTAATGACAGGAGGCCGAGCCCAGGGTCGCCAAGGGGGTTTGGTCTTTAAAACTTGGTGTTGGCCAGACTCTGTCTCCCTTGGCAGCTGGCAAAGAGTACTGGTGTTGCCGTTGGAAATGGTGCCTCTGCTTGGTGGATTCTGAGGTTAAAGGAAGCAGTGAGGCCATTCTCTGCCCCCTCCTTCCTCCAACTTATTCCTGCAAACTCAAGTTCAGAGCTGGGCAGTGCTGGCTTAGGTGGGGCCCATCACTGCCTGGAGAGACCAGCAGAAAGGGGAGAAAAGCTAAGTGGCTGGCGGCCACTTGGGGCGGTCCCACCACTGCCATGGTGGAGACCTCTTGAATCTCTGAATTTTAGAAGCAATGTCAGCTTCCTTGGCAGGACTGAGGGGTGGGCAGTCAAGCACGTTCTCACATGGCAGTATCTCTGAGGGTCAAAGGAGGGTAAAGGCGTGTCTCCATGCTGGGAAGGGGCCGTGTCTGGGATGTGCTGAGATCCAGCATCTCTTGGTCCTGAAGGTTTTGGAGAAAGCTGCCCCTCTGGATAGTGGGTTCATTTCATTTGGGGAGGGTTTTTTTAGCTCTACAAAGGCTGATGGAAAAATACAGTGTGTTTAAATAAAAATTATTATGGTAAAAGACATACTGCCATAAATTCCCCTCAAAACACCCTCTCTCACTTTGAACACACTTATCCCATCATTCTTGCCACTTTATGAAGCAGTTTTGGAAGTCCTTTTTCTTGAGTGTCTTCATGAGATGTGATCAAAACTACAGTACATGCTGCCATGGCGTGCCATCTGACAGAAAGGCAGGCTCCTAAAAACATCACAGTATGTCCTCACCCACCTTAGTCACTGGATCTGGCGCCATGGGACTTGTGGCCTTTCCCCAATGTCAAAATGACCATGACAAGTAAGTATTTTGAATCTATTCAAGATGTTCAGACAGCCACAACAGTGCAACTAAAGACACTCATGAAAGAGAACTTCTACAACTGCTGCAGAAAGTGGCAAGAACCTCAGAGTAAGGACGTCCAAGAGGATGTCACAAAATGGAAAGATGCCCCCTGCTCCTGGTAGAATACCAATATTGTCAAAACAACCATTCTCCTAAAACTGTTAGACAGACTGAATGCAGTCTCGATCAAAATACCAACAGCCCACTTCACGGACCTAGAGAAAACAATCCTAAACTTCATATGGAACACAGAAGACGCCCAGAATAGCAAAAGCAATCTTGAGCAACAAGAACAAAACAGGAGGTATTACATTACCTGATTTCAAGCTATACTACAAAGCAACAGTGATAAAAATGGCATGGTACTGGAACAAAAACAGACGTGTGGATCAGTGGAACAGAATAGAGGATACAGAAACATCCCTGGACACATTCAGCTATTTGATCTTTGACAAGGGGGCCAACAGCATGTTGGAGGAAAGATAGCTTATTCAACAAGTGGTGCTGGAAACTAGATATCTGTTTATAGAAGATTGAAACTGGACCTATATCTCTCACCATGTACTAAACTAAAATTAAAATGAATCAAAGACCTAAACAGTGAACCTACTGGAAGATAAAATAGGTAAAACATTTGAAGTCATAGGCATAGGAAAGGATTTTCTGAACAACCTCAACTGCACAAGAAATAACAGCAGAAACCAACATGTGAGATCACATCAAATTAAAAAGCTTTTCCACAGCAAAAGAAGTAATTAACAGACTGTAGAGACAACCTACAGAATGGGAAAAACTTTGCTATTCATTAGTTGGAGGGCTAATATCTAATATGTATAGAGAACTAATAAACAACTAGGCCACCTAAAATAAAAGACCTAATCAAGAAATAGGGAAGTGAAGTGAACAGATACCTCTCAGAGGAAAAAGTTCAAATGGCCAATAAATACATGGAAAAATGTTCAACATCTTTGGCTGTTATGGTTTGTGTCTAGATGTCCCCCCCAAAAGCCTCATGCAATAGTAGGGTTTTTTGGAGATGGCTGAATCTAGAATGTGTGGTTGATTTGTAGTGCAATGCTTGGATTAAAGGTGCTGGGATTAAGGGTGCTGAGATTAAGGGTGGGTGATCGCTAGATCAGTCCCCTGACTGGATTGGCACTGCCCTAATCCTGGTAGACTGGATACAATATAAGGGACAGAAAGAGGCTTGTCCCACCCTCTCTTGCTGCTTTTGGTGTCTTCTGCCACCATGAATGGTTGCCCTCTGCCATGTAGCATCTTGCCTTGGAGCCAGCCAGTTATGGCCTGAACCCTCTACAAACTGTAAGCTAAATAAACCTTTTCCCCATCCACTTTGGGTGTTGAGTATTTTGTCTCAGCAGTGAAAGAAAAGTAGCTAAGACACTGACCATTAGAAAGATGCAAATTAAAGCAATTCTAACATTCTTATACCAGAGAGAATGGCAATCATCTGTAAGTCAAGAAAAATAACAAATGCTGGTGAAGCTGTGGTGAAAAAGGAACCCTTCTACATTGCTGGTGGGAATGTAAACTAGTACAACCATCCTAGAAATCAGTATGGAGACTTCTCAAAGAACTAAAGTTAGAAATTCAATATGACCCAGGTATTCCCCTTCTAGGTATCTTCCCCAAAGAGCTAAAGACATCATACTACAGCAATACATGCATCCCCAGTGTTTACAGAAGCATAATTCATAATAGCTAAATCTTGGAAGCAGCCTATATACCCATTAACAGATGAGAGTACAAAGAAAATGTGCTATCTATACATAATGGAGTACTACTCAGCTATAACAAAGGATGAATTTGAGACATTTGTAGGAAAATGTATGTACCTGGAATATATAATGTTAAGTGAAATAAATCAGATGCACAAGCTTAAATACCATATAATATCTCTCATATGAACAAGGCAAAGTACAGACAAAGAGCACAATAAAGGATGGATAGACGGAGACAACAGGATGGGTCTCTTGCAAATGGGAAGGGGTCCAGGAGACCAAGGGTGAGGGGAGAGGAAAGGGAAGAGAAATAAGTAAAGATGCACCATGTACCGGAACCTGATAATCAGTGAGTGTACACACTGTATGACATAAACGCGGGCTAAGAGTAATAATATCGACAAAAACGAAAACAGGGCAAGGGGAATTAGAGGAGGAGAGAGGAAAGGGGATTAAAGGAAGAATCAAGCTGTGTTATGTACATGTACTGCTCCCCAAGATGCGTGTAAACTGCATGACCTACAAACATGTAGAAGAGGAAAGTAGCAAGGACGCTGGGATGAGTGTGTTTGAACCGAGGGGCAATGTACATTTCTGTATAATTTTTTTTAACTAGTGATTTTTTTTGGATCTAACCTTGTATTCTACAAAGTCCTGGGGTCAGCTACTGAAGATATAGCCATCCCTGCAGCTCTCCTGGGTCCATGATGTTTCTACGAAGAAGTTCTTTTTCTAGTTGCTGGGGTAGCTAAGCATCAGATTTAGAGTAAAGGCTTCTTGCTGTAAATGTCTGAACACCACAGTGAAGTCTGATCACCGTTCATTGAGAAAAGCAGTGGGAAGGGTGGGGGCAGAAGGAAGCGTGGGGCATCTCGGGAGCTTTTCTCCTATTGGTCCATCTGGTCACATGGTTATGACTTTGCTGGCTGAGCTACCAGTTACCTCTACCCAGTCTCTTCCTTTTTTTTTTTTTTTTTTCTTTTGGTACCAGGAATTGAATGCATGACCTCAGGCTTGCCAGGCAAGCACTTATGCCACTGAGCTACATCCCCGGCCTCAGCCTCTTCCTTAAGAGAAAATGCAGTTCCACGCTGAGGTGCGTGGAACGGTGAATGCTGCCTGAGGTGGCTTTCAGACCCCGCTTGTCCTTGGTCAGTCTTTTTGTATCGTGTACAACCTGTACAACTGGATAGGCTGGTTCTGGGAGCAGGAAAAGTTGTGTTAGGATGGCTTCTGTCTAGTTACCCAGGAGTCCCTTTACTTGTTATTTTGACACATTAGAGCTCCCAACCAAATTTACTACACTTAACCTGCCTGCCTGCCTATCCTTCTTTCTCTCTCACCCATAGGTCGGGACCACCTATATCATCTGCCCCAGGCATAAGTGCAAAATGGGGAGCAGGGATATCATCACGGTTCCCCTGATGTCACTGACAGGTGGGCGAGGAAGAGGCGACAGAAAGCTGAGTGCCGGCGAGGGGAGTCGAGAAGCCGGCCTGCCTGCCACTCACCCTCAGCCTGCTGATGAACACGCCAGCATCCTCCTCCGAGAGTCTCCCCTGCTGAGCCATGATGCGCTGGATGGCTTTGAGGACGTCAGCGGCCATGGTGACATCCCCGCAGACGTAGATGTGGCCCCCTTGCTCCTTGAGGGCTCGGTACACGGCCTCGGCCAGCTGCTCTTGTAGGACGTCCTGCACGTACTTCTGCAGGGTGCAGGAGACCAGCTGTGTGAGGCTCCCGGCATGGCTTATGTTCCCCACAGGAAGGATAGGGCGATGCAAGTGCTTGTGGGCAGGCCGGAGATTTTGTGGGGTGGCTCCAGGAAGGAGCGAGTCAGGGGCCAGAAGTGTGAAGCAGGGAAGGTGGGGGTGCTGTCTGGAAGTGTTGAGGGGAGCTGTTTCCCACTTTGGGGGGACTGGAGCATAAAGGACTATGCTCCCCGAAGTCATCTCCAGTCGGGGCACCCAAAGGGGGGGCTGTGGTCTGCTTGCTCCTGGTGGCAGTGGCCAATGTTCGCACGTGGGGTGTGGACATTGTACACTTCTGGTATGCCGGGGTACCTGCAGGTCCCCAGCCTGCAGCACTAGAAAAGCCCAGGCCAACTGCAATAAGAGGGTGCTCAGAGCATGCCCACAGGGTGTGGGCAGGTTACAAGGGGCAACTCCTCCTGCTGCTGGGAGTTTGTCTTGAACTTTCCCAGGATCTCCCAGCCCCAGGCCTTGCTACACTCAGCTGGTAAGTCCTGGATACTTTGCACTGGCTGTTAATACTGACTTATGCTGGTGCCAGCTGGGTGCCAGGTGTCAACTGCTGTCCAGAGCCTCTGAGTGCCACCACCCCCAGGTGTCCTGGCCCCTTTCCTGGGACCAATCACTTGAACCACTCCAAAATCCAACAGAACCATCACCAGTCCCATGTCTGTTCTGATGGGTACTGCCTCTTATAGGCTGTTAAATAAATTATTTTATTTTATTCTTTTGTGGTGCTGGGGATTGAACCTAGGACCTTTGTGCTGAGCTACATCCCTGTCTCTCCCTTTTTAAAAATGGAGACAAGGCCTTGCTAAGATGTGCAGGCTGGGTTTGAACTTGTAATGCTCTTCCCTCAGCCTCCTGCAGTGCTAGGATGACAGGCTTGTACCAGCAACCCTGGCTCAGTGCTAGAACTTCTTTGTTACTCTAGGTGGAAAGCATGCACTCATGAAGCACTTATTCCTCCTTCTCCCGCTTCTCAGGCTCTTGGCCGCCACCAACTTGCTTGGAGTTGCCTGGACTGGAATCAGGTAATGGAGTGTTAAATCCTTCCAATAGTGCTGTGGTTGAGATATGAAGGGTCCCCCAATGACTCGTGAATCTAGGGCTTGACTCCAATGCAGCCATGTTCATATCATGACTGGATCAATCCACTGATGAGCTCCTAGCTGAGTGGGCTGTTAGGGGACAGAGCCCCATTGGAGGAAATAGGTTACAGGGGTATGTACTGTTAAAGGCCAGATCTGGTCCTAGGCTCTTCCTTTCTCTTTGGCTCACTCTCTCTGTCTCTGCTTACCATCTGCCATGAGGTGAGCAGCTTTTCTCCACCATACCCTTCCACCATTATGCTCCTGCCTTGGAGCCAGCAGACCGGGGACTGAACCCTCTGGAATCATAAGCCAACCTGTCTTTTTTACAGTTGTGGGTGTCAGGCATTTTGCCCGACCAAAGGAAAACTAATACAAACAGATCCCTTTCCAGGCTTTTGAAGTACTGAGGGGGAACTCAGAAAGGGCAAAGGTGGGGGAGAGTCCTGAGACAGCTCTCAGAGTGTGTATATGTGAGTGTGTATGAGTGTGTAGGTTTCACCTTTGGTTTGTCCGGCTCCCGGGAGTAGGCCGTGTACAGCTCTCTGAAGACACCCTTGTTCTTGGCCTGCAAGGTCTCCTCCCTGTAGATGTGATCTATCTTGGATTGCCGGCACCCGAAGACCAGGACCATGGGGCAAGGACTTATTCCTGGGAACCAGAAGGCTGTGTGTCACTAAGGATTCTAGTGCCCATGTGGGGATGAGTGGAGATACCAGGGTGGGGAGCTGGGACTTTGAGGTGTGCCATGTAGACTGAGGCTTAGGAACACTGGGGCAGGCGGTACACACACACACACACACACACACAAAGACACACACCCCATGGAAGACGATTTGGTGTGTTCAGGTTTTGATACACTTCCCTTCCCTGGGTTTCCATGCTCCCTGTTGGCACCCCCCATACCGCTTAGCAGCCCCCCAGCACCAGGTAGCACTAAGAGCCCAGACTTGAGTCAGACCTCCTGGGTTCCAATTCCAGCTCTGTGTGATGGTGCACAATTTAACCTTCTATGCCTCAGTTTCTCCAAGTGTGAAACATAAATACAGCTGTCCCTTAGTATTTGCAGCAGAGAGGTACCAGGACCCCTTCTTGAATACTAAAATCTGTGGGTGCTCCAGTTCCTTCTATAAAATGGCACAGTATTTGCATACAATGTATGCACATCCTCCCGTGTACTTTAAATCATCTGTAATGATTATAACAACCAACACAATGTACATGCTACAGATATAGTTGTCATACTGCATTGTTTAGGGGATAATGACAGAAAAGAGTCTGAGCCAGGCATGGAGGTGCATGCACGCAATCCTAGCTAGTCGGGAGGCCAAGGCAGGAGGAGGCAAGTTCAAGGTCAGCCAGGGCAACTTAGCGAGACCCTACTTCAAAATAAAAATACATACAAAAAAAGGATCTGGGGATGTAGTTCAGTCGTACAGTGCTTGCCCAGCATGCACAAGGCCCTGTGTTCCACTGCCAGAACCAGACACACATGAAAGTCGTCACATGTTCAGTATAGACGTACTATTTTCTTCGAATATATTTAATCAGCATTTGGGTGACTCTGAGGATTTGAAAGCCATAGATGCAGAGGGCTGGCTGTAGTAACAGCACCCACCTCATGGGGCTATTGTGAGAAGTAAAAGTGAAATGAAAAACTGGACCTGGCATTTGGTGAGCACTTTATAAATAGCAGCAGTTCTGCTGGAGCCACAGTTCCATGGGAGAGAATTTTCTTTGCATTTAAGTTGTTTTTCTGTCGTGTATATTGCTATGGTCCCAGCACCCCCATTAGTGGTGGGCACTTTTTAGTTGCTTTTTCACATGTTCTTGCCAGCTTGAACCACCGTAACATGTACACGACTGTCCCATCCAGTGGCTGCATCACTGGTGGTACCAATGGGCCTAGGCACCTTCATCGATATTTTTACTAATAAAATTAACAAAAAGTCTATAAGTGGATGGAATCTAGCTAGTTGCTTGAATTTGAATAATCACTGCCCAAGTATAAATATTAATTAATACTAGTCATAGCAATTAATTATTATAATAATTTAATTTCATTAAATTAATAGTTTATCAATAATTAATTCTCTAAAATTTAACATGGAAATTTTACAAGGACCCTATTGCTGGTGTATATAACATGCATTTATATCTGCTGTACCAATAATTAGCTGCCCAGTGGGACAGTCATGCATGTGTCACTGGTGGTTGGTCGGTGGGACGATTGAATTCAAATTGGACCTGCTTGGCTGTGATAAACATGGGAAATCCTCACTTGATGAGTGCTCCCATTGTGGGTTGTCTCCCTCTGCTCCCCCCCAGAGAGGAATGGTTGCGTCTCCCACACAGCAAGCCTGCTCTTGAGAGGCAGTCCAGGGGACAGTCACACAGGCACATCCATTCAGTAAGGACTCACGCCTGCCCCATCTAAAGCTGTTGGTTTAAGGAGCGGCCACCTCTTACTGTCAAAGAAAAGGACCCAGGACAAGCTGTATGGAGGGTTTGGAAGCACTGTTGGAAAGACACCATGAACTTCACCTGTGGGTCGGGTCAGGCCTGCACCTCCACCCCTCCCAGGCAGGCAAGCAATGGAGACTCGGCTCCTACCCACCTTTGTGCTGGATGTCGAATTGCCGTTGCTGCCAGAAGCTTCGGAAGGGGGCAATGCCAGTACCCGGGCCAATCAGGATGCAGGGGACCTGGGGGTTTTGGGGTAGGTGGAAGCTGGGTGCGCTGGACAAGGAAGAGAGAGTCAGAAGTCTTGCTGAGCTCAGGTGTGATTCCAAACAGCAGGGCCCAGGGCAGACCAGGCAGTGAGGCACAAGTCTGGACACGGGACTGTGCATTTCTGGAACCCCTGGGAAGCTCTGATGCTAATGGTATGTGGACCACACTGTGAAGATTCTACTCTCAGTGGCTGAGAAAACATGGTGAGCCACAGCCACAGCTCAGGTACAAAGCAGGTGCCTGTCATAGGTCTCTACTTGGATCTGCCTATTAACAGCGAGTGGGGAAGGGAAAGTTCCAATGGGTGGGGGCAGCTGAATGAAACTGGGGACAGATTGAAGGTGACCTGTAGAAGTTGGGTAGAGTTCCTGTTAGTCTGCAAATTCCACAAAGACTGAGAGTGATGCCTCACTGTAGCCCTGCTGGTAGCACATATGTGCCCTTGAGGAATACTTATCACATAGATTTGCCTTTGCCATGCCCCTCTATCTCACGATCCCATCTCCCTAACACCTAGGAATGATGCGGGATGTCGGTCTCCATTCCCTCCGACCCAGTCATCTCCCTGCAGCCCTCCAGGCTCGTCCCCACCACTCCGACTTGTGACCCCAACATGCAGATTTGAGACGGCCTCTCATTTTTCTTCATTGCCACTCACCCTCTCACAAAACAGGGGACCACTTCATCAGCCTGTATCCGGTTGAGCCAGGAGGAGCACACGCCGTGGTGAATTGGTCCTTCTCCATCTAGCAGAGTAAGAAGCAGGGAGGTCTGGCTGTCCCGCCATCCCTACCTCCCCACACCCTCCAGGGCAGGAAGCTCTCAGGCCAACGCCACACTTCCACTTTGGAACTCATGGTCTCGGAAGACCTCCAAAGGGGGAGAGGGAATGGCAGAGCTGGGGTGACTTGGTAGCTGAGCACCAGCCCAGGGTTCTGTTGGGTACAGGTGGGTTCTATTCAAATCTTGTCCACTGAAATGGCCTTGGTCAAAGTGCTGAGGTGGGTGCATGGGGTCCTGATCGAGGAGTCTGCAGGTGTTGTGCATTTCAACTGCTCTTCAAGGAGGCATAATCCAAGTGCAGAGCTTGGGCCCGCTGCGGCAGTGAGCTGCCCCGGAGAATGGCCAGTGAGCCTTGCTCTAGTCGCTACCTTGGGGTACCAGAGGATTTCCTTGGGTACCAAGGTTTCCACACCTTGGGTGGGAGTGTCCTGCAGGAATCTGGGATTGGGGTTGGGATATGGTCTTTGGGCAGCAATGCAGGGAAGACCTCCAGAGGCCCTAGGGGACTGCAGACTTGCACGTCTGCCCACCTCGGGTATGATAGGAGACGATGGCCACAGTGAGGTGCACCTCGTCGGGGTACATGTCCGGAGAGGAGCTGATGGAGTAATAGCGAGGCTGGAGCAGGGACAGCTGGGTGAGCAGCAGGGTGGCCGGCATCTGGATGGACGGAAACTCCTCCAACACCTCCACCATGGTGGGGTTCTTGCCCCATTTCCACTCCTCATACTCCTGCAACCCCTGCATCAGGAGGGACAGAGCAGAGTGTGAGGCCAGCTACTGCCTATTTCCAGTGGGCACAAAATAAGAGCGAGACCAGGTACCACTTCCAGGGGAGCTGTGCTGTGCAGGGTCTGCATCTCCTGAGGACATTCTGGAACCCATAGTGCCTTGGTTCCTCTGGGCTGCTAACCCCAAATACTTCTGACAGGTTAATCTGGACAATGGAAGTATGTGTCGCAGACAATGGGAATCAAGGTGCCAGTGGATCTGCTGCCTGGGGAGGGCTACTCTTCATGGGTGGCACTTAGTACACATCCTCATGTGGCAGAAGGGGAGTGGTGGGACACACCTGTGATTCCAGCACTTGGGAAGCTGAGGCAGGAGGACCGTAAGTTTGAGCCCAGCCTGGGCTATTTAGTGATTTAGGGAGATTCTGTCTCAAAAGAAGAAATAAAGGAAGGACTGGGGATGTAGCTCAGTGTGAAGGCATGGGTTAAATCCCCAGTACTTAAAAAGTGTGAACCAGCTCCTTTGGGCGTGTTTTCTAAGGATACTAACCCCATGCCTGAGGACAGAGTACTCCTGACCTAATCACTGCCCAACTGCTCTATCTACTCCTTTGGTGCAGTACAAGAGATGGAACCCAGGGCCTCTGGCATGCTAGGCAAGTGCTCTACCACTGAGCTGCTGCTGCATCGCAGCTCTTCTTAACATTTTATTTTGAGACGAGGTCTTGCTAAGTTGCCTAGGCTGGCCTTGAACTTACGATCCTCTGGCCACAGACTCCAAATAGCAGGATTACAGGCTTGCTGATTTGAGACAGTGATGGCACCTCTTAATACCATCACCTTGTGGAGCTGGTTTCAACATATGAATTTCTTGAGGGGGCAAAACATTCAGACCATAGCAGGTATTACTGTTATGCCCATTTTGTAGCTGAGGACACTGAGGGATGCAGAGGTCCTGTGGCTACCAGGTGGTGATGCTGGTGATCTAAAGGAGGATGTGGCGAACTTCAGCTACCAGCCGGTCCTGCCTTGCCACCTGTTCTGTATGGACCATGCGATAAAAAATTGTTTTTACATTTTTCAAAGGTTGGAAAAAAATCAAAAGAAGAGCCATATTTTATCAGACAAGAATAGGAAATGAAGGGCTGGGGATACAGCTCAGTGGCATAAGCACCTGCCTGGCAAGCACAAGGTCAAGAGTTCTATCCCCGGTAGTGCCCCCCCCCAAAAAAAAAGAATAGGAAATGAAATTGAAATTTCTGAGTCCACCAAGACTTTGGCTGATGTGGGGTCACAGCCGCTTACTTATGTGCTGTCTACACTGCCGCACTGCCATGGTGGAATTCAATAGTTGGAACAGAGTCCAAAGGGGCTGCACGCTGAAATGTTTATCACCTCGTCTCGTGCAGAAAAAAATCTGCTGACTCCTTCCCTGGGCTGTCTGGGATGAGAATTTTTGCTCCTAATCCTTATGGTCCCCTGAAGGACAAGAGTGAGGCCCTGTGGGAGTCACGCCTTGGTGACTTCAGGACCCCAGAACAGAACATGGCAGGTGCAACGTGCATACCTGCAGCCTGCTGCTTGCTGAGGAGGCTGGAGAAGCATCCTCGGGAGTGTTCAGGATGATAAGTGACAGCGCAGCAAAAACGGGTTGGAGTGTGTCGGGGACTGTGTTCGGGGGCATATTGACAGCAGAGCCCCGCTCTGCTGGGGAGAGCTCTCTGGGGCTCTGGAGTTGTTTTTCTTATATCTCAGAAGATGCCCTGGTAGTCCCTTATTGCTGGCATAGGAGGCTCAGCTCCTGGTAGCAGAGGTGAAGTGGGTTATGAGTGTGTATAGCAAGGTGCACTGGATAGCGTGGTCCTGGAGACAGTCCTCACCTAATGAATAGGAAATGGCCATTGAGAATGTGCAGCCTGGACCTGCAGCCTCACTGACCTCCAGCTGCTGGAGCACATCTGGCCAAGAGCCCCAGTGGAAGCTGTCTGAGATGGACACCCACCTGGATCTGTCGCACACTTGAGGCTGACGATCATCCCCAGTGCTGATGTGAGTTTGGGTTCTCATGGTGTTATTGCTTATTTCTAGATGTCACCCACCCCCATGCGGCTCTTGGGAGTGGCTGGATCATGGGTGTGTGATACTGGATTAGTCCACTGATTGGCTTAGCGTAGTTCTGGGTGTGGATGATGGATTTACTAAAGAGAAGACTCACCCTGGGTGTGGGTGGCACTAACCAATAGGCGTGTAGCCTGATGGAATAATAAGGGGAAGCAAAAGGAAGGCTCTGCTTCCTGCCTGCCATGCCATGGACTGTTTCTCTTCTGCCATGTTCCTCTGTCACATTGCCCTGCTTTGGAGCTAGCCAACTACGGACTGGAAACCTCTATAAACCATGAACTAAAATAAACCTTTTCTCCTTTAACTTGTGGGTATCAGGTATTTTGCCCAGCCACGAGAAAGTAACTAAGACAAATGGGCTGCTTCCAGTCCAGGACTGAACACAGAAAGGACAGATCCCAAGGCAGGTTCATTCCTGGAATCCCTGCCTTTGGTTCTAGGACTCTTCAAGAAACTTGCTTGTCCCACCATAAACTGCATTGCAATCTGAGAGCCTTCCACCCAGTGTCCTTTTGTGTCCTGTGGTGTTAGCCTTGTTTTAGGATCTGATGATTCTTTCACCCTTCTCTGACTCCTTTTTCTGTTTCCTCTAACATACGTGTTTCCCCGAATAAAAATCCTTGCTCATTTATCCCATCTTAGGGACTTTGTGCTTTTCAGAAGAAAAGGTCATGTATGTATGATTATATACATTTCTACATTATATAGTCCTGCGCAAAGGGCGTGGTCTCTGGCCCCTCTTGATACTGCCCCTCCCCACCACGAACTGCAAGTTTACAATCAAAGTTACATATGTACACAGTGTAAACAGTTAAGTAATTCTGCCAAGCTTCTGATTAAAAATAATGGTCTCCTGTTCCACCAGGAGCATCTGTTTCCAGCTCTCCAGAGGTGACCACTTAGAATTCTCTGTTTCTTCTGGTGTTCATTTCCATATTTCTAAACAATATGCACTTGCTAACTAGCCTCTTCCTCACTGTCCTCATTCAGTCCTTTCTCCTGGACAGGAGACAGAAGCCAATGCATCCTTTGCTAGGGGCGTGCTTGCTGGCAAGGAGACCCCACGGGGAGGTCCTCCTGGGTAGGATCCTTCCTTCTTCTTTGTCTTTCTTTTCCTTTTCCCTTTCTCTTCTCTTTCCCTGTACAAACCCCACCCAAAGCTTCATGCATGTGAGGCAAGTACTCTACTATTGAGCTACAACCCTGGCCATTAAAATTCTTTTATAGTTTTGAGACAGGGTCTGGCTCAGTTGTCTGGATTGCTTTTGCACTCAGCAACTGGAGTATCTGGGATTCTGGGGAGAGTTCCTACTATACAGCCTTTTGGAGCAGGTGACTCCATAGTTTCTGAGCAAGGGTGGTACAAGCTTAGTTTGGCTTCCTGACCATCAGAAGCCTCGTATGTCTCACTGTCCTACCTATAGCTCCTTTCACCAGAGCACTGTGAGATTCTGGATTTTTTCTTCCAAGTGTGGGCTGACTTTGAACTCACGGAAGCTCAGGGTAACAAAGGTGGAAACAGAAATAGAGTAGCAACTTCTGTGGTGGCCAGAGTACTCTAAGTGACAAAGGGGCTGCTCCTGTGCTTTAGATGGTCAGGATCAGGCAAAATGGAGAAACCAATATGGCGACCGTATGCAGATTAGAAAATGGTACCCATTGCTCCAAACTGCCCTCTGTTGGACAGATGTTGGAACAGCAGTGTCATAGTTGGTTAATGCCCAGGAGGTGAAAAGTTCCCATCGAAGTTGGGTGACATCAAGGACCCACCTTGCTGAGGACTAGCAGGCGCTGCTTCTCCTTCTCATTGGTGGCCAGGGAGGCGAACTGCTGCAGCTGCAGGGGTGTGGGTGGTGTGGTGATGTCCAGGTAGTACTTGAAAGCCTGGAAGACGGTGCAGGGAGGGAGGCGGGGCTCGTCCTTCCAGTTACTGATGACGCCTGGGGAGGCACAAGGGGACAGGGAGGTAGAGGAGGGCTCGGGTCCACAGTGAGTCCTGGCCTGCTGCCGTGGCAGAGGACTGACTGGATGAGCAATGTAGCCCCGGGGCCAGGCCATCTGAGTCTCCCACTTTCCACACATCTGCGGGTCCTGGGGAACCTGTGGTCCCCTCATGAGTGCAAGGAGCCCCAAGCCACTTAGTCAAACCAGCTCCAACCTGAAAAAATAAACATGAAGCTGAGTGATGCCTGTCATCTCAGAACTCTGCGAGGCTGAGGCAGAAGAATCTCAAGTTTGAGCCTAGCCTGAAGTCTAGGTAACTTACTGAATTAGGGAGGCTCTGTCTCAAAAAAAAGAAAAAAGAAAGAAAAAAGAAAGAAAGAAACAAGGAAAGAAAAGAAAAGAAAAAAGAAAAAAAGGCTGGGGAAGTAGCTCAGTGTGAAGGTCCTGGGTTCAATCCCTAACCTCACAAGAACAAGCCAAACTAAATAAAAAGAAAAATATAAAAGAGGGGGAAAATAGCATGAGGGAGTTCTGGGTGATAGACATACACACCTCTGACCCCATCTGTCCTCTCATGGAGTCAGCTTCTCACTCGTTGGCAAAAGATGCTCATGTTTAAAATGAAAATCATAGCTAGCACTCATCTAGCGCCTTTTATATGCCAAGTGCTATTCTCAGTACTTTATGTTATCAACTAATTTAATCTTCACAACAATCCCAGGTGGTGAGCCCTATTATTATCCTTACTGAGAAAAATGGAAGCACAGAGAAAGTAAGGGATTTGCCCAAGGTCACACAGCTCTTGAGAGTAGAGTCAGGGAGCCTGGCATCAGATCTTGTTCGAAGTGCTACACTGTACAGCATCCAGCCCTCCATATCCATGGGTTCTGCATTCTGTGGATTCTACCAAGGATGGAAAGTGTTTGGAGAGGGCTTCACCTGTACCGAACACGTACAAGCCTTTTTCCTTGTCATTCTTCCCTAAACCATGTGGCATAACCAACTATGTGCAGAGCAGTTGCCTTGTCTTGGGCATCATAAATAACCCGGAAGTGATTTAAAGTATACAGGGGGTGAGCATAGGTTAGGAATAAACACTTCGCCATTTTAATAAGGGATTTGGGCATCTGTGGATTTTAGTGTCTTCTAGGAGTCCTGGAACCTGTCCCCATAGGTCCTGAGTGATAACTGCTCTTCCTCTGGGTCCATCCCATGTGTCCCTGAACACAAACACTTCCCTCCCAGAGGAGACATGGCCAGGTGGAATTTATTAAGAGAGATATGTCTCTCCAAAGTGGAGCCTCCCTAAGGGATTTTCAGAAGGTCTTTGCGAATGTCTCCCACATTCTGCCGATTTTGCACCTTAGCTCCTTGTACAGGTGGCAGTTGTGGAGTCATGGGCTGCCATGTAAGGTCATCGTGGATCTTCATGTCAGAGCCCTGAGCCCACCTGCAGCTGTGAGATGAAGCACTGAGACCCATTTGCCTTGGAGGGTTCTTCACTAGGAACCCCAGAGATGGTCACTTAACACGTTAGACTTGGTCTAATGAGGTCAAACGCGTGGGCTCCATCCCTCAGTGGCTATCAAGCTTCCTGTAGGTCCTTTTGTGTCTAAGGGGAGTCTGGATCAGGTCTCAGCTGACCTGTACTTGGAGTTAGGTTCAGACTCTAAGAGGAATCAGGATCAGACTTAAGAAGTCAGGATCAGGCTTCAGCTGATATTTACTTGGTGGGAAGTGGGGTATTACAGATTTTCTTATGGGGCGATGGTGGTGAAGAAAATAAAATAGTGACTGTTGCTAGAGTGAGTGTCCAGTGATGAGCACGGTAGAAATCCCTTTGCCCAATGAGCCCTCCACGCCTGGTGTCGTGGTGTCTGCTTGGTCAGCCACGAGGAAGGGCGAGAGTGTCTCCTGAACTGGAGGCAATAGACAGCCACTCTCCTCTGAGGATTGGTGGGGAGGAAGAGGACTGTGTCTCCCCGTCCCACAACCCACACCATCTCTGGACCTCCCGGGGGAAGGGAAGGGAAGTCCGGCCACTTCTTCCAGGTCCTCTCGAGTGTGGGCAGAGAACGGGGCAGGAAGGGAAGGGTCCTAGGGTATCTATTACCCAAAGCCGTGTTCCGCTCCTCCAGCAGTTCCACCTTGACCATCTGGTTGGCAGGGGGCGCATCCTCCAGCCGCTCGATGAGGGCATTCACGAGGTCTTCATGGTTGCCAGGGAAGACCCCCAGGTGGTCGCCAGGCTGGTACTGCAGCTCCTGGTTCCCGTTGGTGTGCAGACGCACGAAGATGGTTGATCGGCTGCATGAGGGACACGGAGGACAATGGGACAAGAGTCACCAGCTTCTGCCCCTTTTCTCTGCATGGTGGGTGTAACTCCCTTCTTCCACTTTCCCTGGGGCCCATGCCATCGAAGCTTATGCCCCATCCTCTTCTCACGGTCACCCAAGGGGTCCTCACTGCAAATCCAGTGGCAGCCCCTGGGCTCACCTGGACAGGGAAGTAGCACCAGACATGACTGCTCACCGCCTCCTCATCACCCTGCTTGGACACCACTGCCTAAGCTCCCCCAGTCTGCTTTATGGCTGCTCCTGCTCAGTCTCTTCTGCTGGTTCCACTTTGTCTCCCCAAACTTTGAACACTGGAGCACCCCAGGGCCCATCCTCAGAAATATCTGCTCCTCTGTCTTCCCGCCTCTGCTTTACTCTTCTGTATTACATCTCCCACCCCCGACCTACAGTATTGCCTGCCTCCTCCTCTGCTTTGTGATCTGTCCCCAGCCAGGACAGCATGAACTCTGTGGCTGGCCGAGCATTTGATTTATCCACTGCTATATTCCTGGTGCCTATCGCAATGTCTGGCACATAGCAGATCCTCAAAAAGTATTTGTTGAAGGAAGGAATCTCAGACTTCTGGGGTAAAACAGCTGCTGGGCAGGCTCTGTTCTCAGTACAAGTTAGGGTTCTCCCAGGGACCAGCACCCCAGTGGAACCACATGCTAACCTGTGAAATTCCATCTTTCCTGAGAATTTCAGGCTCCACCCCTTTTGGCAGCCCTGGTCCTTGTACTGTCAATGGTAAAGGGAAAAAGACCTGGCCTTAAGCTTGGGTTCCTCTTGTACACAAATTCACCAGTATTATGATACTGAGAGCTATAAGAAAAAAATCCAGAGAGAAAAACACTTATACATGTCCAGTCGTGCCCTTTCACATTGATTTTTGTGTTTCGAGTTCAACGGCTTCAAGACTAAATTCTCAGAAGGTCCTCTGAAAAGTTTTAATACAGGCAATACTACATTTCATCCAATGCCCGAAAATGGGATCAATGACACTCTGGTAAATCAAGCTCTTTGTATTCTGAGCTGTGCTTGCTTTTCAGATCTGCTCTTTCTCCGCTGCCAATTGGTTTCCGTTGGTGGAGATGCTTGATATTCAGCATGAAGTTTGTACATTCTCCATGGTATGTAAATCACATTCGAACAGACCAATGGGACTCGCTATTTAGAGGTTTTTGGCACTACCAAGAGCCCTTTTGTGCTACAAATAGCCACCATTATTAAAAATAGTTGAGCTGGCACATTTTTTGTGTGTAAGTATCAAGTAATTTCGGGGGGTAAGTATCAAGTATTTTCGGTCCTTAGTACGGTGGGCAATTAATTGGTGGTCATAATTGTTGAATAGTGCTCCTTTCATGGACAGATCTCACCCTCTCTGGGGCGCTGACCTTGTTAATTATACAGACTTGCATGACTGATTCTCCCCTGAGCCCACACCAGTGCTTGGTTCTTGGGAGCCAACTCGATGCTGCTGACAGGAAGGGAACGTGTAAAGGCCAGGAGCCAGCAGGGGGCGCTGTGCGGCTGTGAATGTGGCGTTTCCTGAGCTCACCAAGAGGAAGCCTTTGAAAGGCCCACGAATCAATTCCCGCTTCTTTCCTAGCTGATCACGATTTGTCCAAAACTGAAATTCAGAGAACCTGAGCTTGCTGAGCTGGCTCACGAGTCCGGCCACTTCTTCCAGGTCCTCTCGAGTGTGAGCAGAGAACGGGGCAGGAAGGGGAGTGTGCTATAAAGAGTCCCAGGCCCCGGCCAGGGAGGGTTTTATGCCAAGGGACTTTGCAAGCTGCTTGCTGAGATCCCTGTGCTGATGGGCCTCGTGGCAGGGGGCACGCTGATGGGCTGGTCCGTGGCGTCGGGAAGCTGCTGTTCAGGTGGGGAGTGCTGGCCTGGACACCACTTGCTATGAATCTCGGTTCTGCTGGACGATGCTAAATAGAGGATTTTAAAACTTGGGACACATATGGGCCCTTGGAAGTTCAGGAGGAGAGAGGGGAAAAGGGCAATGCTGGGGCAGGCTTGTGCACCTCTTCCCCCAGAGTGTCCCCCACGTGAGATACGTTTGTATTCACATACAGAAGCAACACACACACACACACACACACACACACACACGGCAGCGATCCAATGACAGGTTCACAGATGAAAGAACAGTCTGATAACGTCTAGCATTAAATGGTAAAAACAAATAGCTCATGTTCATTCTTCAAGGCAGAGAGTAAACATTCTCAGTTGTGAGCTGTCTGAGCTGATTAACGAGGCTCATTCATTCAACACATTTACACTGAGTGTTGGTGCTGTTCTAGACCCTGCTGAGAGTGGTGGTGGGGACAGCAGGGTCCCCCATGCTCACCGAGAGACAGCTTGGAAGCCGTGGCCTAAGTCGGGTAGAACGGTCAGGGTGGCCTCTCTGGTGACCTGACACTTGAACAATGACAGGAAGAACAAAGATCCAGGGGCAGCCTGTCCCAGGAAGGAGAAAATAGTACATGCCGAGGGCCTGAGGCAGAAAAAGGGATGGCATGTCCAAGGAAGGGTAAGAAGACTGGAGGGTTTGGAGATTCCCAAAGACCTCATCGGGGGCTGTCACAGCAAGGTTCTGTGTGCCTAGTAAGAAGCCACTCCAGGCTGTGACACTGAGAAGTAAAATGCTTCCATGTATGTTTGTATTTATTTATTTCTTTTGGGACCAGGAATTGAACTCAGGACCTTGCACTTGTCAGGCAGGCGCTTGTGCCACTGATCTATATCCCCGGCCCTCTAGGTTATGTTTTTAAAAGATGACCCTGGCAGCTGTTTGAAAAGTAGATTGTGGAGAGAAAAGCCGAGAGACAAAGAGGCAAGGTAGGCAGTGATGTGAACCACCAGAGACGACCGCTGTGGACATGAGATGTAGTCCCGCAACAGGCCAGGAGCATCCGTGGAGGTACTGCGTGTGCTGGGGTCGGGGGCAGGGAGGAGGTTGGAGCTTTCGGCTAGAGCCAAATGTTCATGTGTTGTGCAGAGCAGGGGAGGGCTGGAGAAAAGCAGTCTTATCCACAGGGAGATGGGAAATAGGAGCTCTTTCTAGCGAGGAGCCTCCATTGTAAAGTCCGCTACTCTGCAAAACACCCCAGCGCTCGGGCCCCTCTCGCCTTTGCACCTGGTCTTGCTCCTGGTGACACAAAGGGACTTGAACCCCAATCTTCCTGGTCCTGGACACCCTCCTCTGTGCCTCTCCAATGTCCCAGCTGCATTTCAAGCCCTGCATCCCCCCGCCAGAATCATTTCTAGGAATTACTATCCACTCCCCTTTAGCTCTCCATTACATTCTCCCTCATGTACTTTTGCTAATTGTTGTGCACTTAGAAAATTTACTGGCAGGCAGGACATAACTGGGGTCACTTTTCCCTTTAGAACAGCGAAGACCGCCCTCAAAAGGCTGTTTACTTGCTCCCCCGCACTTGCGTGGCAATTAAGGGTCTCTAGCGGGGCTGATTTGTGGTATCTTGAATATCTTGGTTTTGGCCTTCTTGGCCAAATAGCCAGCTTCGTCCTTGGGCAGGAGGAAATGGGAGATTCATGCTCCTCCACCCAATTATTTTTTTTTCCTATATACCTAATAACACTAGAAATGGTTTAGTGCTACAGAGCGTGCTTTTAAAAACATAAACACTTAGGTACATTTGGGTCCTTTTTTGGTGCTAAATCACAACTGATTTTAATACTATTCTCCAGTTCCTAACCTTGTTCAGAATATTGTTGGTCATTTTTAGACCATCAACTTCAAATCAGGTGTCCTCCCCAGAGGTGCGTAGGGGTGGATTTGGGGACTTTGGTTCGATTTAGCATCAATACCTTTGCAAGTTTGCTTGTAGCTTATGTACTGTGGTTTAGGGAATATGTTCTGCAAGCTGGATTTTGGTTGTTTGTGCTGAAAGAAATTTCCAGTGGATTCCCAATCTCTTCTTTTCTAATGCTATTTAAGCTATACCTTTCCATGAGATATAAATGAGAGATAAGATACATCTTTTTCTTGGCTTTTTGAGGCAGGGTCTTGCTATGCAGTTCAGACTGCGTTAAGCTCACTTTGTAGCCCAGGCTGGTCTCAAACTCACAACGATTCTCCTGCCTCAGCTTCCTGAGTGCTGGGATTACAGGTGTGCGCCACCATGCCTGGCAAGATACATCTTTAAAATACGGATTCTCTCTCTCTCTCTCTCAGAGGCATTATGTTCTGAATATTGCATTTCACTAATTATTCAGCCATCAATTTACTGATCCACTTCTTACACTGAGGATCTAGAGGAGAAGTGAGAGTCTTGGGGCTCTGTGCTGTTGATTTATTTATCAAGGGTTGGAGGAGCACACGGAGAGCCTGCCTGCTAGAGGTGCAGGTGATTTGAAGCTGCGCTGGATGAGGAGTAGAAACGAGAACCTAGGACGCGCCGCCTGCCCGATGTCCCTCGTTTTTAACACTCACAGCAACCTTGTAATGCTGTTGAGGCCATCTGTGTAGTCATTCGGCTCAGTGACTTTGGAGTCAGCTAACCGGGTCAGTGTGACCTTGAAAAAAGTCCACTGCATTTTCTCAGTGTCATTTCTCCTATTTAAAACGTGGACAATTACAGTCTCTACTTTCTGAGCTGATATGAATTATGACAGGTCCCGTGTCCAGGGCTTGGAACGAAGAAAGTGCTACATAAAATGCCAGCCATCTTTCTCGCTGTCATTCCCGTTTTATAGACAAGGAGACAGGGGCTCAGAGCACCTGAGTGTGGCGTGAAGGCTGCACAGCCAGCACGTGGAAGAGCTGGAGTCAGAACCCAGAGCTCCCCAGCTCTGGAGCCCGTTCTTTATCCACGCTATGCAAAGGATCAAGATTTCAAAAGGTCTGGCTGGGCTGTAGCTGCAAAGTGAGAAAAGGTTCCGTGCAACAGGGATCAACACAAAGACGCTCATTAGTGTTGAAAGAAATATTTACACAAGCAGAGGTGTAGACAGCACTGGTCTGATCATGTCCAGAGGAGAGGAGCTGTCTAGAAACAGCAAGGACGTGGGCTTAATGGAAGGGAAGGCTGCCTGGGAGGACAGTGCCGCAGTCTCAGGCGGCGTTAGCACATCCTGTTTGGGTCGCTGATGACAATAATTACCCCAGCACATTCGGCTTCAGTCACAAGACCTCCACTGCACTGTGACCAGGTTTGAGAATGACATTTCAGCAGGACAGAGCGTGTCCTTCTACTAAAGCCAAAGGTTTGGGGAACCAGGAGCTGGGGAGGCTGAGTGCAAGGTGTCAGGACCTTGGGGAAATTGGTCCATCTCTTTGGTGATTTGCAGACCTCCACGGAAGAAATGAATTTCCTTGGGATGCCGCAGGAAAGTGCAACTGGGTTTAAAATAAGCACTAAAAGGACATGTTTTAGTTATGGTGGATGTTTAGATATTTGGCTCGATTAGATTTATGAGCTATTTGGCTGTGTGGGATATTAAGATAATTTCTTATAGTTAGGACTTCAAAACAGAGAGCGAGCTGTTTGGGAGAGGGAATGTGTCTCTCCCCATCCAAAAGAAATTTAAGCAGAGTCTAGGTAACCATTTTCGTAATATCCCATCGAAAACAGTTATCCACAGTGAGGAAATACTGGGACCAAGTGATTTCCAATGAAGGTGCTGTGGTACAATGGATGTTGAATAGTCCCATGGGGTGGGGCCCACCATGAAGACTCGCTCAGAAAAACCTTTCTCCTCCCCCTTTTCACATGACCAACACCTCCTTTGTCCAGGTAAAAACTTTCGCTTTCAGAGCTGGTGAAGGAACCGCATGCCAGGTCTGTGTCCTACTCCTGAGCTACACCCTCAGCCACACTGCGACCTTGGTAAGGGGAAGACAGAAAACTCAGACAACTGCAGGAGGAATGGGGGGGGTCTCAGTGACCGTTTGTAGTTGCTGGGACATAGGGAGCTGGTCTGTGGAGCTGGCACGATCTTCTCCCTTACTGAAGGTGGAATCTGGGAACCAAGGAGGGTGGTGAAGCGGGAAGCCCAGGGTTCCTACCTGGATTTCGGGCTTTGCAGGTTTTGACGGCTCAGGAGTCGTGCAGCTGAGACTCGCTTTTTGTGGACACTGGAAAGACCTGTGAGTAGAAAAAGAGCATCCTTCTTGAGATGTGGTTAAAACGTTGCTCTTAAAATGCTCTGGCTTTCCCTGGAGACCCTGCTCACACCTATAGGTCTTTGAGAGCCAAGCAAAAATATAGGAGAGAAGAGGAGAGGCTGGGCTTGTTAGTGAGGGGATTGGATAATGCGGAACAGAAAGCAAGCTGGGTTGAACTCAGTTGGGAGGAGGACGGCTGTGGGGGACGCACCACAGGACTGGAGAGCAGCTTCCAAGCACACATGTCCCTGGCATCGGGCAGCAGCGGGCATGTTCATTTTGGGAAGATGATGTTAGAGACCAGGGTAATGAAGCCGCGTCCCCCGCTTTCCGGGGAGAGCTCTCCCGGCTTGTTCATCCTCCCCACTCCCCGGAGGACCTCCCCAGCGGGGTGGTATGGGGTACCTTGTGTGAGTTCTGGCGCCTCGGCCACATAGGTGAGACGGAACTTGTTCCTCTTCCAGCTGCGGTCATTGCTGATGAGTGAATTGTTCGCCTTCTCAATGTTGACGTCATCTCCCACGCAGAACACATCACAGGCTGCCTGTGACACGGAGGGGGCTTTTGGTGACTTCTTTCAGCCGAGAGGGGCTCCTACCTGGGAGCTCCAAGTCATAGGGTGTGTTTCACTGTCCTTCCTCCCTCCCTCCTGCCCTGCCTCCCTCCTTCCCTTCCTCTCTTCCTTTACCTCCCTACCCACCCACCCCCTCATCTTTCCATTCATCCATCCATCCATCCATCCATCCATCCATCATTCTGCCCACTCATTAGCCCACTCACCTATCCAAGCATCTGCTCATCCACCCATCTATCCACCATTTCAGCCACCCATCATCCCACTTACCCACCCATCCACCTACCTACCCACATACCATTTGTCCATCCATTCACCATCCATCCATCCATCTATCCCCCCATCCACTCACCACACCCTCCCAGCCACCCAGCCATGCACCCATCCCTCTATCCTGTATTTTTGAATACCCTCAATGTGCTGAACACATCATATTTACCACTGACTTTATGACTTAACCTTTAGTTAAGATATAACTCTATGCTGCCATTTATTTCTAAAATCAACATGCATAGAGGCTTAACATTAAAGAGGCAGGTAAATACCATAGAATTTCCTATTTATCTTCCTTGAAAGATTTAAAAAATTATATAAAGACAAAGTGTCTGGATACCTGGATATAAATGTTTTTTTTGTTTTCTTGTTTTTAAAAATCAAGCTCATTCATTCTTTAATGTTAATAATCCAAACAATTATTGTTCGGAGTTATTGTTGTTGCTATTACTTTTATTTTTTATTTTTTTATTTTTTGTCTTTTTGAGACAGGGTCTCGCTATGCAGTTCAGGCTGGCCTTGAGCTCACTTTGTAGTCCCGGCTGGTCTTGAACTTGCAATGATCTGCCTGCCTCAGTCTCTCAAGTGCTGGGATTACAGGCGTGTGCCACCATGCTTGGCTTGTTATTACTTTTGAGATGGAGTCTTTCTATGTTTCTCAAGCTGGTCTCAGATTCCTAGGCTCAAGGGATCCTACCAAGTAGCTAGGACTACAGGTACATGCCACCACAGAATAAAAATATTTCCAGGGTATTTTTACCAATGTTTGGCCTTGTATTGATTGTAAAGCAATTCAAATGTTCATCGATGGACAAATGGATAAACAAAATGTGGCATATCTATATGATAGAATATTACTTGGCCATAAAAAGGGGTGTAGCAGGTGCTACAACATAGATACACCCTGAAAACATTATATTGAGTGGCAGAAGCCACCTATTCCATGGTTCCATTCATAGGAAGCAAATGGAACAGGGAAATCTGTAGGCACAGAAATTAGATGAGTGAACGATCATTAGAACTCGGAGTGGCATGGGAGAGTAGGTTGACAGCCAAGGGATATAGTAGTTTAACGTGTCTTACTTTGGAGATGCCCTGGACAGCCTGGTTAACTGAAGCCAAACCCACACAATGATCTCAAGTGTGAAAAATCCACGTTCTCTCAATTCCCCACATCTGGTTAGAAATACAGGAGGAACAGGCTGATGAACACAGTTCCTTCCCCAGAACTCCTTATAGCCCAGGAGCCTCAGTTTCCCCTTCTGCTCTCTATCTGCCCTTGATTTCCAGATGAACAGTGCCCACTGGCTGACAGCAGGGTGCACAATCCCGGGGCTCTCTCTCCTGGGGCTGTGGATAAGGATGCATCCTAGGGCAGAGGAAGGCGCAGGTGAAGTAACGGTCCTCATTCAAGTCCCTGCCCTGGGGCGGCCTGATTAACCAGGGCCCACGTGCACATATACGGCCACGTTTCACTTCTTCTCCTGTGACTTTATATCAGGACAGTGCTGACCAATAGGATGGCTCCTCACGGTGGGAACATTCTGCATAGTGTAGGATCGAAACCATCAGCCACTTATGGCTGCTGAGCACATAAAATGTGCTCAGTGTCACAGACGTGGAATTTTCAGTTGTGTTTATAATTTTTTTTTTACTGTACATAGGTAGAATCTATAATTTTATTTATTTTTTGTAGTGGCAGAGATGGAAACTAGGGAGTCAGGCATGCTAGGTAAATGCTCTACCACTGAACTACACCTCTGGCCACTATAATTTTTTTTTTTTTGGTGGACCAACTCCTTGCCCATACATGGTTTAGAATACTAGATTCTGGGTAAAAAGGTGAGTTTGAAGGCCCTGAGATTCACTGGAGCTGTTTAAAGCTGTGTGCTGGCGGGATGCACAGTGGAAGTACTGGGGGTTCTTTCTCCCAAGTTCCTATTTTGATGGCTTCAGTGCTGTGCTTGGGGGTCTAGGGAGCATTTCTTCTCCTCCTTGAGTTTCTTTTTCTTTCTTTTTAGTAGTATTTGGTGCCTTTGCACGGAGCTACATCCCCAGCCCTTTTAAAAAGATTTTATCTTGAGACAGGGATACACTTAGGCTGGGCTGAAACCTGTGATTCTCTTGCCTCAGCCTCCCAGAGTTCTGGGATCACAGGCGTGCGCCACCAAGGCCAGCCATTCCTGAGTTTCTGAGACTGGATTACCTTGAAGACCTTTTTGGCCCAGGTCCTGAAAGCCTCTTCCTGTCCGCACAGCTCGTCCCCCTCCCGCATCTTCAGGATCCTCTCCCCGCCCAGCTCTTCCAGCAGGGTGTCCACGGCGTGTCCGAAGGCGCAGAAGTGTGGGTATGCCCGGGAGCCGAGGCCAAACACGGAGAACCTGGCAAAGAGATGACAGAGGTGCTGGGCTAGGGAACGCTGGGCGTGGTGGTGGGGATCTGTGTCCTGGGCCGGACTGTGTGCTCTCAGAATTCTTAGTTGGAGTCCCAGGCCACCGTGTGTGTATATGCACTGTGATAAAAAATATGGTGAATATTTTTAAAAATTACAGTAAAAGACACATTGCCATTAATTCCCCTCGAAACACCCTGCCTCACTGGAGACACGCTTATCCCATTGTTCTTGCCACTTTCTGCAGCAGTTCTGGAAGTTCTCTTTCACGTGTGTCTTTAGTTATGCTGTTGTGACCACCCCAATGTCCTGTTGATTCAAAACATTTAGTGTTCCCGGTCATGTTGACTTTCGGGAAGAGCCAGTAGTCACGCAACCCCAGATTTGCTGAAGAAGGTGGATAAGGACCCATCATAATGTTTTTTCAAGCCTGCTTTCCATTGAGTGGCACTCGGCAGCAGCATTCACTGTATTTTTGACCACACCTCATAAAGACACAGAAGAGGACTTCTGGAACTGCTTCAGAAAGTGGCAAGCATGGTGGGATAGGTGTGTCTGAAGTGAAAGGAAGTGTTTTGGCAATATTAGTGGCAATGTGTCAGTGTAATGACTTTTTTCAGTTTAAACATTTACCACGTATTTCGATTACACTGCATATATGGAGACAGGACCTCTATGAAGGTAATTAAATGAGGTCATCAGGGTGGGGCATCAGTGTCCTTATAAGAAGAGGGAACCTTTCCCCACTTTCTGTCAATGCAGCAGGAAGAGGACCAGCTGCAGGCCAGGAAAAGAGGTTGTACCAGGAACCAACCCTGCCAACACCTTGCTCTTGAACTTCTAGCTTTCGAAACTACGGGCAAATGAACACCTGCTGCTTTAGCCTCCATTCTGTAGCACTTTGTCATGGCAGTCCAAGCAGACTGACGTCACTGGTGCCTTGAGTAGCACCGTGTGTATAGCATTGTCACTGGTGGTCAGGCCACCGCAAGCTTCTCTGTGGAAGGCCATGTGCAAACCTCAGAGCCCTTGAGACCTCCCCTTTCCCTTTAGCCTCTGCTAGGCCTCATCATCCTCAGGAGAAAATCCAAATTGTTGGAATTCTAAGGTTCCTAGGAGGATAAGATGGGGACAGTAGTGACTCGGAACCACTGGCTGTCTCTTGCATGCCCCTTTCTGAGCAGGATGAATGGGGGGAAATGTCTATCTCTGTGGAAGGCTTGAATTTTACCAGCAACACAGCTAGATTAGCTTTATGTAGAAAGATAATGGAAACTCTAACATGATGGTCCTCAGAGACCTGTATTAATAAAGGGACCAGAAGGTCTTGTTATGAACATATCAAATGTCAGTGTGTACACAAGATTTTCCAATGGGAAGAAAGAGTTATAACCATGCCGGCTCTACCCCTTGTAATGTCTATGGAATTAATATGCTCACGAACCCTCTTTGTATAAGTACCATGAAGAAAATCTTGGTGTTTGAAACAGTGGGACTTAAGTTAATGCAAGTTTTCTCCATGTTGAGGTGGGGAGACTTTGGATGACATGTGAGAAGCTTCTTGCTAACATATTATCTTACTGACACTGCTGTGTGTGTGTGTGTGTGTGTGTGTGTGTGTGTATTCAGGGTCTTTGAACTGAGCTACATCTCCAACCCCCCTTTTTTTTTATCTTGAAACAGAGTCTCACTAAATTGCCTAGGCTGGGCTCCAATGTGAGATTCTCCTGCCTCAGCCTCTCAGAAAGCTGAGACTACAAGTATACATCATGATGCCTGGCTTAATCTTGGTGCCACTGAATGCCACACTTCTGGGGCCTGATTCTGGCTGAATCTCTGGACCAGGGATGGAGCAACAAGTCTCCCATTGGAACAAGGACGCCCCACACTTCTGTCAAGGTTAGAGTATTCTGCTGGAGACGGTCAGCTCAGGTCAGCCAAGGAGAAGAACCTCTTTCCCTGCACCACGCTGGCTCTGGCCCTCTCCCTGAATGTTTTCTTGAGGATGACAGGGACAAGAGGGTGACAGACTGAGATGGAGGGAGTGGGGAGCAAGTGCAGGAAGCCGGGAAGGCACTCTCAATTAGTGGAGGTGAACTTGACATAGGCCCGGGGTCTCCCAGGTGGAGTGAAGGTCAGCAGAGGGTGATGTTATCTGCTCCTCTCCATCTACATCCAAGCTGTCTGCTCTTCTTTCCTGCTGTCCTTTTCCCGGGGCTCCCAAGCCCTTCCCAGTTTCCTCCCTATACCCCATGATGCAGCTGGATCTGGATACCACACTCTTTCCTTGCAGGCTGGACAGTGGTGAGATGCGCTTGGTGTGGTCTGACTGGAGGGGCATCTGGCGTCTGGAAAGGGCAGCCCTGCCCTCAGCACCCGCCTTAGCCCAGTGCAGACTGGAAATTCCTAGCACTGGGCAAGCCTGTGGCTAAGATGTTGTTTCCCAAACCTCTTATTTATGCTCACGATGTCTGCCATCTTTGACTATCCCTGAGACTCTTCATTAATTTTTATGTTCTTTAACTTGCTTTTAATTTTTACTTTCTAGCCAGTAAACTGCATGCTATGGTCTGATGCTTTGTGTCCCTTTAAAAGTCATGAGTTAAAACCTAACCATCAGTGTGAAGGAATTGGGAGGTGGGACTTTGGGAGGTGATTAGGTCCTGTGGGTGAAGCCCTCATAAATGAGATTAGTGCCCTTGTAAGCGGCTGAAGGGACCAGAGTTCTTTCCTTCCAAGTGAAGATATGGCTAGAAGGTGCCATTGATGAACTAGAAAGTGGGCCTTCTCTACACACTGGATCTGCTGGTGCCTTGATCTTGGACTCCCTGACCTCCAGAACTGTGAGTGATGCATTTCTGTTGTGTAGGAGCTACCCGGTTTATGAGATTTTGGAACAGACTAAGATATCCACCTCTTGCGCTTGCTAACACGTAGTCTAAGTGGTTGATGCATTAATTCGCTTTTTGTTGGACCTACAGCCTGCATCGCAGCAGTCAACTTCTGTTCCTGTCATAATCCTCACTTATGATTTCAAACTTCCTATTTTAAATCTCCAAACCAGCAGCTGACTAGCTCCTTATAAGTGAGGCCATACAGCAAATATTTTTAGGACTGTGAAGCTGAAGCCATTATGTAGGTACTTATATAACAAGAAAGAAAACAAATTCTTGCCCATTTTAAAAATTGATAATATCAAAAACAATAGTAATCAATGAGGACCATTTTAAAAACACAGATCTACTAGTGAGAAGAATAGGTTTATTTTTGAGGGGCTAACATTTTGCTTAGCTGGGGTTCACAGGTAAAGCTATCATTACATGAATTACAAAAGTTCACCTGTGAAAAAAACGGTTCCTAGCTCACGGGTTGTACCACAATATGCAGCGGTCAGGCTGGAGTTGGTCTGCAGGCATTAGTTTGCCAACTCCTGCTGTGATAGATTTAATAAGGGAAAAATAGATCTGACTGTTAAAACTCCAGAACTGATGTTTCAGTGTTGAGCTAAAAAACGTACTGATGTCAGAACTCATAAAATGTACTATTCCAAGACTGGCTCCTCATGTAGACGAGGGGCTCTGGCTGATAATGATGTGCCTGGGTGGGATCAATGATGCTAGCAAGTGTACAACGTCTGTGCAGGACGCTGGTGATGGGGGTGGGGTGAGGGAGTTTCCTGTACTCTCTGCTCAGTTTCGCTGTCAACCTGAAGCTGCTTTTAAAAATAAAGTCTATTTTAAAAATGTACTGATGGATAGGAGCCTTTAATAACTAGGGACCCTGTGACCTGTATTATCTACTAAGCATTGCTCTCAGCAGCTGCTGAGAGGGTTTGGGCCCATGAAGGCTGGAGAAATTTGTGGCTAGGCGGGAACGTTCTGCCTAGAGAGCTGACCACATTAGTCTTGCTTTGATCAATATCCCTGAGACCCAAGCTTGCCATCCCAGCATACATCTTTCCAAATGCTCACTGGATGGAATATGTGGTGTTGAAACATGAAATACGGATTTGTCCATGTGGCCCATAAAAGTATCTCATGATATGTGACCATGCTTTGGGGAACATGGAGTTAAGTGAGGATTTTTAAATTTTACTGTAGGTTAGAATCAGCTGGAGAGATTTAAAGACAAAGGTCTATGCTTTAGCCCAGCTCCAGATCAGCTACACCAGAATCTCTGGAGGCAGGGCTTGGTTATCACATTGGTATGCTGTGAACATCCCCAGATGATTCTGACGTGCATCCAAGGTTGAAAACCAAGGGTCATGGCTGGGTATCTCAAGGAATGTTCATCAAGTGTCCAAGGTGTCCACTGGGAAGGGCAGCTCTGGGAGCGATTAATTTCTGGGGGTGAATCTCCTTCAGCACAGATGCTGGGGTGAGCCCTGGAGGTGGGGTGCTCAGAGAGGATGACAGGGAGAGCTGTCACACAGCAGTGTGTTTCCATGGGGGAAGGGAGCCTGGAGGTCCAGGGTGCAGCTGGTTTTAGGCGGGATGAAGGGGATGGAAAGGGGGAGCCTCTTCCCCACAACAAAAAGCCTACCTTGCAACTACACCCAGTTCTCCCCAGAAGCCTTGGTCTTCCCTGTTCCACCTGCTCCCTTGCTTACCTCACATTGGCCAGGGGTCCAGCACTCTCAAAATTGTCTCTGAGGTCAGGCCCATCACCCGATGATTTGTGGGAATCAGAGTAGGAGGAGACACTGTTGAACCGGACCTTGTAGCTCCTGCCAAAATAAATGGGGGCCTGTGAGCTCTGCTTTGGAGACCCTGCTCTTCCCGCCGGGGCCGACACCTCCTTTGGATCTTCAGGTTACTGGTTCTGATTCTAGTACCTTTTCTTGCACATGGAGTCAGGTCTTACCACTCCTGTGGCCTCTTCGGAATGTATCAACTTCCCCATGTGCAGCACCACGATAGCTATTCCTTTCATAACTACTGACTCCGCCTCTACTTAAAAGGTAGTCAGGTCACACCTGACTTAGGAAACTTCAGAACCATATCATTAAAATGGTTGCATCACTAAAATTTCAGGAATCAAATGCACCAGCCCCTCACCATGAGACCGTCCTTCTCACATTGTAATACACACAAGAATCATCGTGGACTCTTGTTAACACACAGACTCTAGTTCAATAGGCCTGAGGCAAGACCTAAAAATCAGCATTTCTAACCAGCTTGCAAGAGATACCCATTTGCCAGTCTCCCGAACTTCCTTAAAGGGGCTAGGAGCTAGATTTGTGCTTTCCAATATGGCAGCTACTGGTTACTGCTGGCTATTAAAATTATTAGAATTAAATATAGTAAAAATTCTGTTCTTCACTTGCACCAGCCACCCTGGGATTCTCACTGGCCACAGGTGGTTCTGGCTGCTGTATGGAGCAGCGACCTTGCTGTGCAAGGTTCACAAGGACAGGGCTGGTCCGCCCCAGTCAGTGCTGTCCTCCTGTGGATATGGCTCTTACACACCTCAAGGCCGGCCGCTGGCCACAGTGCAAGGAAAGAAAAAATGTCCAGCACTGATACCAGCATAAAAAGACACTGCACTTTTTAAAATTGTTTTCAAGGGGAAGGAAGATATCTTGGGACCCAAACCCAGCATGAGAATCACCGAAATCTTTGAGATTAAAAAAAAAAAAAAAACAGTTTCTCAGTTTTGCTCTAAAAGTGGCACATTTTATTTTCAGACAAGGCAAAACCAAACCAAACCAAACCAAAACAAGCAACCCCCCCAAAAAAAAACCAAAACCAAAACAAAATAAAACAAAAAAACCCCCACAAAACACCACAATGAAACCCTGAGTGTCCAACAACAAATAAACAAACAAAAACAACCTAAAACCCCAAACTCATGAAAAACACCCAACACACAAATCTGAATGTATTTTTAAAAAGGAAAAAAAAAAAAGAAATTATGCATTCTGGCAACAGGGTATCTAAGCTGGATGTTCTTCAACGTTTCGCTCCAGCATCAAGAAAGTTCTAAATATATGTAAGTGTATTTTCTGCCCCAAAATAGCCTCACATTGAGTCACTTCTCCAAATAAGTCATGCAGCATATCAGGGGGTGGCTGTGTTGTTAGTGTGGGAGGCATGGTTGACGGTTGTGGGGTAAAAATACCAGCACGTGTATTTGGATGAAGCTGGAGGTTTCTCCAAATGCTTCCCTCGCTGTGATTACCCCTCAATCCTTGGCAACAGCCCCCAGGGGTGGGCAGGGAAGAGACAACTTCTCCCCATTTGGCAGAGAAAAAAGACTGAGGGCTGCAGAGGTCAATCGATCTGCTCAAGGTCATTGAGTGAGTCAGTGGATTAGAACCCAGGTCTCTTTGAGACCCGGATGCAGCCAGTGATGCTCACGTACTGGGCATGCATACACACAGGTGCACACACACACATACACACATGCTTGCATACACATGCATACATACATACACACACGTGCATGCACACACACTTGCGCACACACATTCTACCTGTGCTGGCTGTCACGGGCTGCAGCCAGACCGTGGACTTCAGTGTCACCACGGGGGAGGGAAGGCCCTTTACGGGGAAAGAAACGCAAGGGTTCCGGGTACCTAGAGGGGAGAATGGTTGGTGCCCCCTCTCTCCCTGAAGGAGGGGTGAGGGGAGCCTGCTGGGAGGCCGCCCAGGATGGCTGGGGAGGTCAGGGTGCAGAGGGTGAGGGCGAGGATGCTGGAGTTGGGTGCATCCCCTAAGAATCCAACACGGGAGGTCTGGCAACGTGTCCTCAGCACAGAGAGGACCAGGAGCGATTTTCGGCACAATACAATCTGTCTCTAAGCACCAGCTGGCTCTGGGACTGGATACTTTTTGGGGTAGGTACTGGTGATGGAACTCAGGGTGCTTTCCCACTGAGTTACACCCCCAGCCCTTTTACAATTTTATTTTGACACAGGGTCTTGCTAAGTTGCCCGGGCTGGCCTCAAACTTGCGATCCTCCTGCCTCAGCCTTCAGAGCTGCTGGAATTAAAGGTATGCGCCACCATGCCTAGCTGGATGCTCCTCTTAGGACTCAGAGGTGTGCTCCAGGTTGGAAAAATTGCTGAGCTGGCCTCAGGGGATGGTGGCTCCATGTGCACAGCCCTGTGTCCTACATGTTATGCAGGATGCCAGGTTGTTTCAAGGGTAATCTTGGTTACAGGCACTTTCCCCTTGGGGACTGCCTTCCCCCAGCCCCACGTTAGATGTTATTTCTCTGTGACCATCCACAGGTTTGTCTTTCAAGGTTCTCTGAGCTGGATTTGAGCTTGAGCTCCACACCAGCTGCGAGTCCACTGCAAGCACAGGACAGAAAAGTCCCAAGGAACCAGGCAGCTTTCTCTGATTCTGAATGCAGGTTTCCAAAGGAAGCACTGACACCCTGCGTGTGGAACTTTCCCCAACTCTTCCATCTACTTCCTGCTTTGATTTTTGGCAAGCAGAGTTAAGTGGGGTATTAGAACCTTTTCTTCTTCTTCTTTTTTTTTTGGTACCAAGAATCGAACTCATGACCTCGCACTTGCCAAGCAGGTGCTGTGCCGCTGAGCTATATCCCTGGCCCCTCTAGCACCTCTTCTTGACAGAGAAAGAAACTGAGGCACAGAGCTGGGAAGTGACTTTAGTCACACAAAATATCAGCCCCAGTGGACCCCAGATCCCTCCCGTTTGTCTCCAGTGGACTTTGGGTCACAGCTGCCATGAGCCAGAACTCAGATGTGAACCTCAGGCTCCAAAAGATAATGATCAGTTACCTCCTGGGGGGCATGTAACATCGAGGGGTCGTTCACTTACTTCCTCTCCTCCTGCACAGAGTTGGGGTGTCTCATTTCCATCAAAGCGCAGCCAAATTTCTAGAGGTCAAAACAGACAATGTGAAGTACAACAAGATGCATGTGTGTTAGTCAGCCTGGAACAGAGTTGCACACAAGGTCTGGGGTCCCAGCTGGTAAAAGAGGGGTCTGGTGCCTGGGAGCTGGATGTCAGGGATGGTCAAAGATTCAGGTGGGCAGTGACGTTAAAGCTGCAGGTGTAGCACAAGGCCAGCTGTTGAAGGACATACAGGTGTGGACCCCCTCCCCCAGCATGCAACATTCCTCTGTGATGTCCTCTCTATAAAATTATTGTCCCCATGTCAGAGCAGGGGAGACCAAGCTCATGACTGGAGTGTCCATTCCAAATACATTGTTCAGTGAGGTGACCTTTTTACTAGGACGGTTTAGCCAGTGGACACCAAGAGACCGAGGACTTGGAATCATTCAATGTTTGCAGAAGTTGGATTAAGCGGAAGTCACTGGCTTTGAGGCTACGGGAGGCTCTGCTTCCGCACAGAGGTGTAAGGCTGATCCTGTGGTGAGCCCCCTCCTTCTGGCTGCCAGCACCATGCACTAGATCAGGAGAAAGTTCATCTCACCTCCCCGTTCTCAGGGGGGTCCCCGTTGCCGAAGGTGCTGGTCACCACCAGGACCAGAGCTTCATGCTCCAGGTGCACAATGTCGTATTCCTCCATGGACATCACCTAGCGGTGCGGCGGAGACATGGGGTGGGGGAAGGGAGGGGGGAACAAAAGTAGTGCGGGAAAGAGAGGAAAAAAAGCAAAAGGGGAGTTGTTTTGAGACATCACCTTTGAAGGGGGAACCAGACATTTCAGGGGCTCCAGCGGGTAGAACTAAAAGCACAGGGTTCTTGTGATGGGCACCGTGACTGAGGGATTGTAGGAGTTCGGGCTACTGTCCAATGGTTGGCTGCCAGGAGAGAGATCTTGAAGGGGGACTTGGAGCTTCTTAGGATCCACTGATTCTGGGTTCTTCCGGGTCCCTTCAGGTTGGGACCCACCTGCCCAGTGTGCTTGGCCTCTTCTCTACCCTGCCTCCACCACAGTAGAGCCCCTGGGCCAAGTCGAGACACCTGCCTGGGGGAAAGATTGTTGCCCCGTGTCTTAGCATCAAAGGCACAATGTTTCCAAACCTAGGTTCTCAGGAGGTGCAGGCTCCTGCAGTGCTCCATGATCATTAGTCCATGGTCAGATATGTTTGGGAAGCACTCATGGTCTATCCTTTTCTCTGTTGGAGACTGTAATACATGTTCATAGATTAAAGGCTCTGAGAAGTCCTGCAGCAATGAAAACCATGGAGCTGTATTTAGGGTAGAGAGTCCCAAACTGACCCTAGAATGGTTTTGGGGTCTTATGTTGCTAACATTTTTCTCTAGAGATAGGAGTTTTGTTTGATGATTCCCGGACTCCTGGGGGGTTCCTGGGGGATGGGTATCGTGGTTACCTAAAATGTACGCAAATGTGTGTGTGGTCTCGGTGTGCTTTCACCCACTGTGGAAGAGTGTTGGCATCCCTTTCTCCCCTGCCAGCTGCATTCGCCACAGAGGCCTGGGGAGCTGGCACTGCCCCTACCCACCTTGGCATCAAAGGCATGTTTGAAGATTTCGCACAAGGTCTTAGCATAGGCCTGCGATTTGCCCGTTTCCGTGGCGTAGAGGATGGTGGCTTTGACCCTCTTGGCCATGGCCTGCCCCATCAGCTTGGCCGAGAACTTGACAGCTCTGGGGGAGGGGTGGAGAGAAGAAACAGGAAACCAAAGGATGAGAAGAGACCAGGCTGGGACTTGGGGCCAGCACCAAGACCCATGCACTTGGACAAGAAAGCATGTCCTTCCCTGATCTCTGATGGCTTCAGGGGTCCCTCAGAGACACTCGGAGCTCCGGGGTTGAGGCCCTGCACTGACTCCTTTCATTGGATCCCCGAGGGCAGCTGCCCACGCGTTAAAATTAATTGGCTGGTTTTGTTTGTTATGTGACTGCTTGGGAACTTGGTTTGCCAAGCACTGCCTCGAAGGTGAGCATTCATTCATGAAATATTTGTTGCATGTCTACGCGTTGTGCCAGGCATGGTTACCGGAGCTAAAGGACGTAGAGATTACAGCTGTGGACAAGCAGGCATCACAGGGCAGCTGTGCGCATGTGCACACGTGCATGCGTGTGCGTGCGTGTGTGTGTATGTGTGTGTGTGTGCATGTATGTGGCTGAGAGACAGAGAAACAGATCATTAGGACATCACTAGTCAGCCAGTGAGCAGGATTTTTGAGACTTATAGATTCCCAAAGGAATAGCCCCAGCTGGTTTATTCAGCAACACACATCCAGAGTTTTACACAGACCCTGTTACTTAATAGACACTAAATTAATATCTACCAGAAGAAATTACGACTTTAAAAAGACTCTACTACCTAGGCCCTGAGCAGTTTAAATGTCAAGTGTTGCCTCTTGCCAGCTGAACAGAGAACCCCAAACCTTTCTTCTCTCCTACTGGCAGCCATCGCAGGCTCAGGAATACCTGGGCTCGACTCCCGGGCCATCTTTCCTACTCTTACTAGGAATCTTGGTGTAGACAAATTGCTAATTATCTCCCACCTGGGGCTTATTGGTGGTAAATTTATCATTTTTGAGAATTAGGCAAACCACCCACGCGGCAGGGAGACTCCCAGCTAAGGGGAAGCTGAATAGGATAAAAGGTGCCTGGAGGCTCCTTGGAAAGATCCGAGCATAAATCGGCATCTATAATTAACTCCATTGTTCCCACCCTGAACTTAATAGTGCAATTAATGTTTTAGATGAATCCTCCCTTCTTTTCCCGGAGACGGGGGAACCGAACGAAAGCCAGAGGTTGTCTTCGCTGAGAATATTCGGGATCTCCCGCTTAGGACAGGGTGCTGCTGATGTGATCTGTGGGTGGAGAGAGAACCCGGGGGCTGTGTTCGTGGGGTTAGGACCTGCAAGGCCTGCCAGGGTCTCATCTCTGGGGACTCCGGCACAGACAGTATCAGCGTACTAAGGAGCACACAGAGAATGCTGTTACCCCTCTGCAGTCTGCATCCACGGCTCTCTTTGCTCAGTAAAATCTTATCATCTCATTTGTCAGATCAGTTGTCACCTCCTTGGGGATGCCCTCCCTGAAGACCCAACCTTGAGAGAATGTCGCTGAGGGCACCAGGAACATATGAGTGTACCTACTGCAGATGCAAAGTTTACTGTATTTGAGTGACTCTTTGGTAGCCAACAGTTGTGAGGTTGTGCGTGGGCAGAGACCATGTTTGTCTGGCCCACCACGACATCCCTGGAGCCTAGCATGGCACCCAGCACGGAGAAGACACTTGGTACTCATCACTGGCTGAATACATGAATGAATGAGTAGGTATGTGAGTGAGTGCAATTAGACTTGAGTGCTCCATAGGCAGTGTGTGTGTGTGTGTGTGTGTGTGTGTGTGTGTGTCTGAAAGGTTCCAGCTCTTTCTTTTTTTTTGTCTTTTTGAGACAGGGTCTCACTGTGCAGTTCAGGCAGGCCATGAGCTCACTTTGTACCCCAGGCTGGTCTTGAACTCACAACGATCCTCCTGCCTCAGCCTCCCGAGTGCTGGGATTACAGGCGTGTGCCACCACTCCTGGCTAGTTCCAGCTCTTTCTAACTCTGGCCTCATGACTTCCTGTTGAAGTCGGCCAAAGTGGGAATGTTTACCCCACGGAAATTGGCACACATTACAAGGCAAGGTATCACCATGACTGTTACCAGGAGAGCTGGTTCCCCAACATACTGCTGCCTCCAGGACAAGCATTTAGGAAACGGGTCTGGAAGTGACCCCAAGAAGAGCTGCAGCAACATTCTCATCCCAACCCTCGACAAAGGCAGCCTGCGGGGTTGTCAGGAAGAGGTTGGGGCACAGTATCTGCCTGGCCTCCTTTTCTGGGGCTCTTTGAATCTGTGGGCACCCCCACCCCTTGCAGGATACTCACTCTGCCAGCTTCTTGAAGCCGATGGCTCGTCGCTTGGTGGGGGTCCCGTTGGTGCCTTTCCAGACGTGGGTGTTCCAAGGATCGGGCTGTGAAGGAAGGAATGGGGTCTGGTCACTGCCGTGAGGGAGATGCACATGCCTCCCTGCCTGCTCAAGCCTCAGGTAAGGTAGCCATGGGAACCTTCCTGCATCAGCCTGCCCATCCTTCTGCTCAGCCTTTGATCCCTCTCAAATGAACACCCTCCCTCCTTCTGCGGTACTGTGGTTTGAACCCAGGGCCTTGGTGCTGGGTCACACCCCTCCAGCCTTTTTCATTTTGAGACACGGTCTGACCAAGTTGCTACATTGCCCAGGCTGGGCTCAAATTTGCAATCCTCCTGCCTCAGCCTCCCAGAGTGTTGGGATAACAGGCATGCACCACCGTGTCCAGCAGCAAACTCTGTTCTTGCCCTCTCATTTTGTGTGTAGTGCTCTGTCAGCTAGACCTGTGCAGCCCAGCACAGGAGGCACGGGCCACACGAGGCATGGGCCACACACTTGTGTGTCCACAGTGCTGGCCTGAGCCCGAGCTGAGATGTGCTCTGAGCATCACATACACACTGGATGAGGAAGACCTGGTAGGAAAGAGGTGGGCTGCCAGGTGTGGTGGCGCACACTGCAATCCCAGCACTCGGGAGGCTGAGGCAGGAGGATTGTTGCGAGTTTGAGACCAGCCTGGGCTACAAAGTGAGCTCAAGGCCAGCCTGAACTGTATAGTGAGACCCTGTCTCAAAAAGACAGAAAAAAAAAAAAAAAAAAAAAAAGAAAGAGGCGGGGGCAGCCACACCTGGTACTCAAAACAGGGCGTGAGCCGGTAGTTGAGCATCTCCTGGTGGAAGACAGGGGTGATACTGCCAGACATGGGGGGCACAATCCACACCCAGTCGGCCGGGCAGCCACCGCGACAGCGGTATTCGTTCTCCATGTGCTTGATGAAGGACTCGGTGGCAGAGTGATGGTCCACGATGGTCACTTTGTCACTCTGTGAGAGGAGAGGGGAAGGTGAGCCGGCGGCCGGAGACGTGGGGTAAACCCCTCCCAAAGGCGGGGCCCGAGGTGACTCCGCGCAGTGTAAGGAGGTCAGGGACCCGCGCACGCTTCTTCAGCCCTCCCGGCTCTCCCCGCGAGAGACCTGTGCCGGTGCCATGGCGCCTCCGACGCCTTTCTCACCAGTCTCCCCCTCTTCCTCCTCCCCTGTGCCCCACTTTTTTGATAACAGGGGGAACCTCAGAGGGTAATAAGCTCGGCTCAAACAACTTTGTTCTGTTTTCCTTGTGTTTGTTTGTACACTTATTTAATACTACAATTACCTCTTATTTAAGGGCACTGATAGAGCCCTTCATTTATAGTGGTGACATAAAATCCTTGTAACATACAACGTTTTAAGTCGTAAAGATGAGCTGATTAAAACGAACGAGTACAAGGCCGCGGACGTGGAGGATGGAATGTCTGGGGCGTGCTCCGGTTGGCAGAATTTGGATCCGTATGTTGCTCCCCTCTAAGTCTTATCCTCTTCTTACATTCTCCTCCTCTCTTTCTTTTTTTGTTTGTTTGGTCCTGGGATGGAACCAGGGCCTTCATCCTGAGTTACATCCCCAGCCCTCTTTATTTTGCCCAGGCTGGACTCAAACTTGTGATCCTCCTGCCTCAGCCTCCCAAAGTGCTGGGGTTACATTCTTTAAAGTCACTCATGCCACGTACATCCCTGCTGTCTCTGGCTCACCGATCTTCATTCTGGCCCACAGAGAGCCAAGCCGTATCAACAGCTCCTCGAAGCTCAGTGGGAGGTGGCTCTCCCTCCCTGGCCTGCTGAACTTGTGTCCCTGCTGTGACATCCGTCAGTGTACCTTCTTCTCGCCCCACTCCTGATATGGTGACAATCATGGTTTAGATCTAGATGTGCCCCTAAGTTCTTTAGGGGCTTTAGGAAGGTCACTGGATTATGGGAGCTTAGAGCTAGCTTGCTGTTAGGAGCTTGGGTCTGGTCGGTGGGGGCATGGCCTGAAAGGGTCCCTAACCCCTCCCTTTACTCTTTGCTTTCTGCCCGCCATGTCTTGAGCAGCTCTCCTTTACCATGCCCCTCTGCCATGCTGTCCCGCCATGGAGCCGACAACTATACACTGAAACTGCTACAAACTGCACCAAAATAAACCTTTTCCCGTTTAAGTTGTAGGAGTTGGGATTGTTCTCAGGGACAAGTAACTAAGACAGGGATCTGTGGCTTCTCCTGCTCTGCATCCCTGCTTTCCTTGAGACTTGCTTATCCCACTGTCTGTGTGTGCCTCAGGGACATCTGTGGGGTCCTAGCTGCCAGTATGGGACACTCGCCCTCCGAGGACACAGCTGGTGTCTACGAGACTGATCTCTATTCTGTACATCCCTGCTTTGCAAAAACCACAGAGTCCCGGTTGATGCCTGTTGTCCCAGCATAATTATCAGTGTCTTCCTTGTGCTCTCAAAAGTTTCCTGGGTTTAAACGATGGCTTTTCTGGAAATCCTATTACAATGTCACTTGTCAGGGCCCTCAGTGGCTCCCGTAATGAGGATGAGCACTCTTTTCTGTTATGTGACAGTTTGGGAGTTTGATCCTTGAGATGACAAGAAGCAGACAACATGTCATTCCGATTGGAAAGAATCAGAAGCAGCAAGTCATAGCTCTCTTTCCCCCATCACCTATTTGTCTTTCACCAGATGGTTCCCACCAGACGCAGAAAACAGGAGGCCACGCGGGCAGGAAGTGGTCACACTGGGGGACAGACACCCCCTGTGGGCCGCTCCCGGTGGGTGGGTCTCCTGACCCTCTGCACCAAAGCTCTGGAAGACTTCTGCCCCGCTTTGGGCTTGGGCCCGGAGAGCCCACCTCAGTGCTACCTGGAAGCTGTAGAGGACGGCGATATTGATCTCCACCAGGGCCTGGTCCTTCCACAGCGAGGACGTCTTCCTCATGTCCAAGTTCATCTTCTTGGCTACATCCTGCAAGGTGAAGGGAGCACAGACTCACAGCTGGCCACCTTGAGGCTGTGTACTACAGAGGCGCAGGGCCGGTGTCTTTATGGTTTTTCTCAGCTACCTAACCCACTCACTCGAAGGCTGATTGAAGCACGCATTTGCTCAAAAGAGTTCTTTTTAACTGAGAACTTACAAGCAGCAGGAAACTAGAGCATTAGCCATGGGCTCTTTAATTATGAAATGTAGTTTTTCATGGAAGGGGGAGATGTGCTAACTCCTAGGAAGGAAGGAAGACAAGAAAATGGGAGGAAGAGGGCTGGGGGACTGGGTTGATTTAGCCAGGGTTGCCAGGGCAAACTCTCTGTGGAGATGGGACACAAGGCGAGGCCTAAATGATGAGCAGAAGGAAGACACCTGCAGATGCCAGGAGGGAGACACTGGATGCAGCGAGAACAGCAAGTGCAAAGGCCCTGAGGTGAGTCTGGCTTGGGCTGTTTGAGAAGCAGAAAGATCAGTGTGCTCGGAGGGTGGCAAGCATGGGGGTATTGGTGAGGGACTGGATGACTGGATGACATAGGACCTTGAAGGGTATGTCAGGGAGTCAGGACTTTACTACATGTGACAGGGTCTTTGGTGCTCGGAGGGTGGCAAGCATGGGGGTATTGGTGAGGGACTGGATGACTGGATGACATAGGACCTTGAAGGGTATGTCAGGGAGTCAGGACTTTACTACATGTGACAGGGTCTTTGAAGGGTTTTAAGCAGAGATTTTGGTCCGAGAGTGACATCATTTGCTTCCCAGTGGGAAAAGCTCCCTCGGTTTGTTGTATTTTCCCTCCTTGAGTGGTAATTACTTAGACTCTAGCCCAGTGATGGCGACCCTTTTAGAGCTTTCAATTGATACAAGCAGCCTGCTGTGGCACGCATGCCATAAGTTCGCCACCACTGCTTTAGACCATGGGCTTTGAGTTCCCAGGGACACCTCCTGGACTCCATTTGACAACTGGGGAACTGAGGCCCAGCAAGGTACCTGAATTTGTCCCAGGTGCACAGAGCCTGTGGGCCTTAGAATAGAAGGCACGGGATGCCTACCGAGTGAGAGCTGCATCCTTCCCAGCTGACACGTCTGGCAAAATGAATTGAACAGAAACAGCTCAGGACATGCAGGCTCCAGCGATATCAGGAGTAAAAAGACCCAGGGGCAGCTTCTTCATTAAAGCTTGGCTTTTCCCTTCCTCTGTGAACGCTGGTCCTAGTCACTGGGGGGACCCAGGTCTCATTACAGGGCTGGAATGCAGCGATTTCTCTCTCAGGTTTGGGGTAATTGCTTCCTGGGCCCAGCCGTCACTGTTTGTATACAAGGGCAGCTGGGCTCAGAGGGCTGGAAGAGTCCCACGGAAGTTAGCCGGTGACTTTGCAAGGGAAATTTATTCAGAGAGCAGAGGGAAGACGGCCTAATTCACTCACGGAGGCCAAGGCTTTGGGATCGGCCTGGCCCGTGACGGATCTGCGGGAAGCAGCACTCTGCTGCCGCTTCACGTAAATTCACACAAAACCCGAGTCAGTGTGTGAAAGAGGCCGGGTGTGCAGCCAGGCTTGCAGTTATTGCTGTTCTGTAGCGTTATTTTGATTCAAAGAAGAAAAATTAGTTGCAGAAAACAATATATGACTTAAAATCCCCCAGTGCAACTTGAATCCCATCTGTGGAAACTGCTTGTTTCCGGCCAGAAGTTAGTATGGGTTGCTGGCTGCCCAGCAGAATCTACTGCTATTGCCTCGACCCCATCCGAATCCTAGGGATGGACTCCGGGGATCCCAAAACTCCCGATGTAATCCCAGTGTGTGGCAAGGCAGAGGAACACTGCTGTTTTCCAGGGTGACATCAGTGGATTTTAATAACATAAACCTAATGCTTGGCCCTGAGTGCTAATCTTCCCTCTGCACCTTATTTACTGTGTGACATAGGCCTAGCACCTAACCTCTCTGTTTCTTTGTGTCCTCTTTTGAAACAAAGCCAATAGCGACAGACTTTGCTATGGACATGTACTGGCAAAAACAGCAATCCTAAACATGGCTTGGTGGTGCACTCTTGTAATCCCAGCATCTGGGAGGCTGAGCCAGGAGGATCGCAAATTCAAGATCAGCCTGGGATATGCAGTGAGACCCCATCTCAAAAACTCAAAACCCTACATCAAAGCAAAATACAATTCTGATACTTTCACCGAAGCTGAGCTTCAGGAAGCTCTGTTCTGGGACTCCAGTACATAAGAATGCTCAACTGGGGAGAAATGTCACATGACCTTAAACTTTGTCACCAGATCCCTCCAAGAGGCCTCAGTGTCTTCATCTGTACAATGGGATTATTGCTATGGCAAGGGTGAAATGAGAATGGAATGCAGTGGGCTCTGAATGACTGAGGAACAGTAACTTGGGTAGATCTCACAGATGTTATCTTGAATAAGAGACCTGTAGCCAAGCAACCAACCTAGCAAAAACACACTGCTCATTACTGTCAGCCCTTTCTGTCCTTAAGCCACACACCCACAGATTCAAACTAACTTGGACGGAACATATTTGAAAACAAATTGCATCTGTACTGACCAGGTACAGACATATCCTGCTGTGTGCACATTATTCCCTAAACCACACAGTACAGCAACTAAGTACACCTTGTATTTGATTTAAAGTATACCGGAGAAAAAAAGGTATATGGGAGGATGTGCTTTGGTTATGTGCAAATATGCTTTTTCATATAAAGGACTTGGGCATCTGTGGATTTTACCTTATGTTTTGCAGTACTGGGATTGAACCCACAGCCTTTGCACTGGGCTACATCTCCAGCTCTCTTATAGTTTTAATTTTGAGACAGGTTCTTAGTAAGCTGATAAACTGTCCAGTCCGGGCTCAGCCTGTCACAGTGCCCTGCTTCATGTGTGGGTCTGCGCATCTGTGCAGGTACTGGAGCAATCAGCTCCAGACGTGGAGGGTGCAAAGTACTTAAACAGCGCGTGGAGGGTGCAAAGTACTTAAACAGCGGTGGCCTGAGGTCTGTGCTCTGGGAGGTGTTTACCGTTGTTCTCGTCACATGAATTCTGCTCTGACCCCTTCCGATTTCCAAACCGTGAGGCTCATTCGTGAGCCAGCGCCCTCTGCCTCCTGCTTGTCTCCTGTGGGGACCAGGGAGGGGCCTTACCTCCAGGATGTTGTAACGCGAGCTGTCACAGTAGTCGCGGACGCCGATCTCTGTACCCATGTACCAGCCGCTGAAGGGACAGGCGCTGAACTCCAGGCCACCGATCTCCAGCAGCATGTTGGACACGGCAGGGAGGCCGTACCACTTCAGGCCCAGGTCCTTGAACCAGTCAAACCTAGGGAGAGCCATGCACCCAGCTCAGCACGGGGCAGGGCGCACCAATGGGTGGGACGTCCTTTCTCGGGGGTTGCTATGTGGCGGACTGACTGGGCCTATGCCTGGACCTGATTCTGTGGAATGCTGGGGCCCAAGAACATGCATTTTAAGCACAGGTTTTCCATGCGGTTCAGATGGACATCCAGGCCTTGGAACACTGCCTAGGGTTGCTGTTGGTCTATCAAACCCACCCTGAGAGTGAGTCCAGGCGAAAGCTCAGAGACCTCACTCTCCTGCAACCCACAGAGCTCCTCTCTACCCCAGGGCCTTTGCACGTTCCTCCTTCCTGGGCTCTTCTCTCTTCCCTGTGTGTTTCCATTTCTCACCTACACTTAACTCTCAGCTAAAATGTCGCTCACTCTGGAAAAGTCTCCCTGATGGGCTATTGGGTCCAGGTGACTTCCTGCTTCTAAGCACCAGGAAATTTCCTCTGAAGCACTTTCCTGGGATTAATTATGGAGTCTCTGTACAGTATGTGTAAGAGCTTCTTTTGGAGACAGGAAAACTACATAGCCAAGGACCAAGTCAAAAGTTAGCACAGTGCCTGCCAGGAGTGTAGATAATAACCTGTTGATTGAGCCAACAAATGATTGAATGAGTGAATGAAGGAATGAAGGAAGGCCAAGTTTCAGCAAGAAGACTGGCTGTGTTTCTGCATACTAAGGGCATCCGAACCCTCAGGACACTGCTTCCTGTCCAGGGCCGGGAGTAAGGCAAGGCACACGACACGCTAGTCTGTGTGCAAATTTTTTTTTTTGTCTTTTTGAGACAGGGTCTCGCTATGCAGTTCAGACTGGCCTTGAGCTCACTTTGTAGCCCAGGCTGGTCTCAAACTTGCAACGATCCTCCTGCCTCAGCCTCCCAAGTGCTGGGATTACAGGCGTGCGCCACCACACCGGGCTCATGCATGCAAAACTTAAGGGAGAACTAACAGACTCAATAATCAAGATCAAAACTACTATTTAGTTTTGCAATATTTTGAATTAGTGCAATTTTTAAAAAATCAGGAATTAATGCCATCGATATACATATGATAAACAAAATACCAAGACTCTTGACAGACAGGGCCCTGCCCTAGGCTGGGTGATTCACCTTGGGCCTCTCATCCTGATCTCTGTTTTGAGCTGGATTCTGTAGTTATTTAAAATGTTGCTGCAGAGCTTACCACGGATTTTTAAAAAAATTAATACTGATTTTTAAAAAATGCACTGCGTTCACATCCCATTGATCCTGCTATTGAGTTTTTAGCAACTCTCTGGCTCTCGTCCCTGAGCCTAGCGCCTCGCTGTGGATTTTCTCTCCTCCCAGGGGCTAAGGCTGTCTATGCTGTGTACTCAGCCTGCACAGCTCCTGCCGGGACCAGATTCCCTGGGATTTCCATCCACACCGGGTCAGCAGGGTGTTAAGCGGATCTCTCTGTGGCATGTTTGTGCCTCAGCGAGACAGGAGCTGGTTCTGCTCTTCCAGGCCTGAGGGCTGGGCAAGGGGCCGGTCGCGGGTGACTGATTGTTTGCGCGGGGAGGAAGGAGAATCTGATTCAGAAGGAGGAAGGTGCCAGGCTGCCGTGGAGAAGCAGCCCACTCTGCCCCAGCCCCACAGCGAAGCCAGGAGCCAAGACACCCTGGCAGCCTGGGTGTGCCTGCAGAGAGAGCCAGGGGCACCGGGCTGTGCAGAGAAGGCCTGCTCCCCCCGCCGCCCCCACGCGGGCCCCTCTTACTTGGGGTGTCTGATGGGCACCTCCAACACCAGCTCCGGCGGGATCTGGAAGAGCTCGGGGTCGTTGCCGTTGGCCTGGAGCAGCAGCGGCAGGACGTCGAAGCGGCCCCTGGGAGGTTTCCAGCCCTGCTGGATGCAAATCTGCAGAGAGACCGCAGGGTGGCGTCACGCCCCAGACCCTCTGAATGTGACAGCTGACAGCCGGGAACCTCTGTTGCCGTGGCCGGAGGACCAGGCCTGGGCCAGTCAGCAGCAGGTGCCGCAAGACACGATGCCAGGCGTGGTGGCGCACGCCTGTAATCCCAGCACTCGGGAAGCTGAGGCAGGAGGATCATTGGAAAGTTCGAGACCAGCCTGGGCTACAAAGTGAGCTCATGGCCGGCCTGAACTGCACAGCGAGACCGTCTCAAAAAAAAAAAAAACACAAAGACGTGCAGCCTCTGATGTGACTCACTGTGGAAAATGCCTGTGGAAGGCGGCTGTCCCGTAGAATATCGTAATGAGAGCCGCACAAGGAAGCAAAAATTCTTAGCGGCTACATTAAGAAAAAAACCAAGGGACTAAAATAATTTTACTAATATATTCCTTTCTTGTTTGTTTCGAGACAGGGCCTTGCTGTGTAGTCCAGGCTGGTCTTAAACTCATGATCTTCCTGCCTCAGCCTCCATAGTGCTGGGATTACAGGTGTGTGCCATCACGCCTGGCTATTTATTTTGAATGATGAATTTACCATTCAACAATATACTTTATATGAGCATTTATTTATTATTAATATATTAAGGTATTACTATCAATATATTCCAACTATATATTAGGTGATTAAATATTTAACATTTATTTATCTAATATATATCAAATGTGTAGTAAATGACATTTTGAAAAACACTAAATATTAACAGTAATTCATTGCTGATACATTATTAATGTGAATATATCCCAATAATATAGTTAAGATGGGTGTGGTGGTGCACGCCTGTAATCCCAGCACTTGGGAGGCTGAGGCAGGAGGATTGTTGCAAGTTCGAGACCAACCTAGGCTACAAAGTGAGCTCAAGGCCAGCCTGAGCTGCATAGCAAGACCCTGTCTCAAAAAAGATCAAAAAAAAAATAGTTAATGTTTTAATTTGTTAATTTAGTAAGCTTATTAATTTATTATATATTAATCTAGTATACCCATATGATCGTTTCAACATGTAATCAATACAGGAATTATCCATGAATTATTTTCCACTGTCTTTTTGTTCTTAGTCTTGGCGATCTGGTATGTATTTTTTTGTTTTGTTTTTTTTTTTTTGGTATCAGGAATCGAACTCAGGACCTTGACCTTGCCAGGCAGGTGCTTGTGCTGTTGAGCTATATCCCTGGCTCTGGTATGTACTTTCATTAAAATTTTTTTTTTTATCTTTTTGAGACAGTCTCGCTATGCAGTTCAGGCTGGCCCTGAGCTCACTTCGTAGCCCAGGCTGGCCTCAAACTCGCAGCAATCCACCTGCCTCAGCCTCCTGAGTACTGGGATTACAGGAGTGTGCCACCACACCCGGCTTTCATTGATATTTGAACTAGCTAATTTTTTTTTTTTTTTGTACTGGAGATTGAACTCAAGGACTTCACAGTGAGTTACATCCCTAGCTCTTTTTGTTTTATTTTCTTCTTATTTTGAGACAGAGCAGGGTCTTGCTAAGTTACGAATTCACCCAGGCTAGGCTCAAACTTGCTCTCCTCCTGCCTCAGCCTCCCAGAGTGCTGAAATTACAGGCATGCCCTGGCACACTTGCTGCACCAGCTATGTTCGAGTTGCTCGAGTCACCAGTAGTTCGGGGTGCCCCTGATGGACAGCACCGGATTAGAGGGTTTCTGAGGTATAATCATGCGGCTAGGGTTGGGGTGATTCTGTATGCCGAGTTAGTGTGCTGGATCCCGGCCGCAGGAGAGCATGTCCTGGTCAGAAGGTTCTGCAGCCAGAGCGCAAGAGGCTGCCGTGTTTATGTTCTGCTAACCGCGAGCAAGGTCAGCCAAGTACGCCGTTAGCGCTCAGCCAAGTGGGCCAGAGAGTTTGGCTGAGCCTTTCACTGCACAGGTGCGATTCCCGGTCGCCCTGGTTACAGCCCCCTTCTCCCGGATAATCACATTTCCCTAGGAAGAGCCGCCTGCAGATGGAGGCGGCAGGGAGGGAAGGGCAGAGGTGCCCCAGGCTTGGGAGGAGGCACAGGGTGGGTGGGAGAGCGTTTGAGCAAAGGACAAGGAGCAGCCTGGCCGAGCGACAGATGAAAGGTGGCTGTGAGTGCGGGGTCTGCCTGTGGGGCTCCCTTGGGCCCAGTTTACCTGTGTTACCCATGGGTGAGACCCCCTGGAAGAAATGGGCAGGGAGCCGGCGGTGTGGACTCTCCTGGTGGCTTTTAGGAACTGACACGGCTACCAACAAGGGTGGTGTGTATGGGGGAAATCAAGCCACCAGAATGGCTGCATGAACACAGGGATAAATGGTACGAGGTGGACGTAGCAGCTAGCTGAGAAAAGGTGGACGCCAGCCCTGGTTTCATCTGTCCTCTCCTGGTGGGAGGCAGGAGATTTGTCCAGTGGTTCTAGCTTTTCCTTTACTCACTTAATAGCCTGTGTAGCTCACTTGGCATTGGCGAGACTCAGTCTACACAACCATAAAATGGGGCAAAAAAAGAAATAGGACAAGAGTTGGGCGAGGTCGCAGCATGAAAATGACCAAACGCCCAGTGAGAAAAGAACCAGAAGACAGTGGGGGCTGGGCAGCCACATGGAGGTGCAGGTCCGGAGAAGGGTTGGCTGCTCCCCCTGGGAGAGCAACGGTAAGTGAGAAGCAGTCTGTAGATAAAGAGCTTGGGGACCTGAGAGCCTGGATGGGGCAGGGAGGGGGGTGCGCGCGCGCACACGCACACAAGCTCGCACCTCTGTGAACTGCACGTTTGCCGGGTCCCCCAGGGTGGAGCCGTCGGGCTGCTTGTAGCCGGCGTAGCGGATGAGCTGGGAGTTCCAGACTCGGAAGTCATGCTTGCCGTCCGTCCTCTGGGGAAATATGGTGATGGCTGACCTGCAGGGAGCACGCGGGACGCCTGGTATCAAGAGAGGACTTGCACTCGGAGGACACCCCGGAAGAGGTGCTGCCGGGCCAGCAGCTGCTTGGGTATCAGCATAGAGCACATCTATGCCAACCCAGCAGCTGTCAGGAGGGTCCCCAGCTGCCCCTCTGCTGGGACCCCCGCTCTGTGTGAGGCTGCAGGGGGCCCAGGCCAGCCGGCCAGAGGGAGGAGGAGGCTTCCTGGGCCAGGGACTTTATGACAATATTGACATGAGCCAGCCTCCCAGGGCATTCTCTAGCAGCTGGTGGTCTCCAGGGGATCATCAGACCCTACCTTCCACCTTCACTTGTTTTGTGAGAAAGGGTCTCATGATGCAGTTCAGGCAGCCTCGAACTCACTATGTTGCTCAGGTTACCTCAAACTCATGGTAACCCTCCTGCCTCAGCCTCCGGAGTGCTAGGATTACAGGCGTGCACCACCACACCCAAGCATGGATCCTCTGCACAGCACACCGCGCGTTCCCAGCTCCAGGCTCTCTCCTGCTACCAGCATTCATTTGACACCCTGGATAAATCCTCTAGACTTCACCTGCCTCACCTGCTCATATACAGTTAACCTCCAACCACCTTTCCCCAGCCTCAGTCCGTAAATGTCCCCAAGCCCTATCCTTGGGGGGGCAGAGACCTACTCTCCTGCCTCCACAGGTGGCTGCCTCTCAAATAGACACTTGCTCTTTTTGCAGAACTCAGTTCGGTGATTAGCATATTCCATGGTGGGCAAAACGGCTGGCTCAATAACATGCTCACCCGATTCCCCACCCCTTGGAGCACAGCAAAGTCTACAGATTTCTGTTGAAAAAGAAATCAGCTCGCACTCACAGTCACGTTTATTTAAGAGAAAACTGTAGGCTGGCAGCCGCTGGCCTCACCTTCCTACAAAAGGAACCATGGAGACTGATTCTACAAGTAAATGGTTTGAAGCCTCTGTTGAGGGGAAGCCCCCAGCTGGAGCCCTGGTCTTTTGCTCTCCCCTCTCTCTAATAATTTTATTACTGCATGTTAATGGTTCATGATGGGCTTTATTCTGCGAAGTTGGTACATGCATTTAAGGTATGTCAATCAATTTCAATCCCATGACCCCTCTCTTCTCCTCCTGATGGGACCTGTCCCCATCTCCGGACGTCTGCTCCCGGTTTTCTATCCTCTCTCTTCTGTTGTAATTCTCTATCTGTTAATTGATGTATTTTAAGGCAATACAGCACGTGCATAACATCAAAGAAAAAAATCACAGGGACATCTCAATAGATGCTTAAAAAGTCTTTCACAAAATCCAACACTCCTTCGTGAAAAAAAAAAAAAACCCCTACTGAAAAGAAGTGTAGAAGACTGACCATCACTTAAAATGATAAAAGTCGTATATGACAGGTGCAAGTCAACATCATACTGAATGGGGCAAACCTGAAAGGATTCCCTCTAAAATCTGAAACCGGACAAAGATGGGCACCGTCACCACTCCTGTTCAACGTGGTTCCTGAAAGTTTAGCCAAAACAACCAGGCAAGGGAAAGAAAGGAAAAGGATCCAAGTGGAAAGGAAGAGGTCGAATTCTCCCCCTTTGCAGATGACGTGCTTCTTAACGTAGAAGACTCCGGTCTCACTGATAAAAGGGACACAGCAACAAGTGTTAGCAAAGTGTGGAGCGGTATCTTAGCACCAAGGCCAGTGATATCTTCGCCTCTCTCCTTGGCATCATATAAGATTAAAAAAGAAAGGAAGGAGAATAACTTTTCACCAGGTGCTGGGAGGTCACCTGTCTTACGCCAGGAGCTTCTGCCGGCTGGGGTCATTGTCCCACCAGGGACCGAATCCCAGGCTCCGGGGACACTGTCCTGGCGTCCTATCTCAGCATATCTTAAATCCACCGCACAGCCCAGAGATCTTCTGCCATACACGTTCCTGTAGGAATCCCTTGCTGTCTCTTCCCCGGAACCCCTATATGCTGTCAAACAGCACATTTGATTGAAATTCCCTTTTTGCACACGCCATCTCCTGTCTCACTGGATTCGTAGGGCTGTCTTTCTGAGTGCAGTTTTTAGGTCTTACCCTTTATACAAGAGAATGAAGTATTTAATCTTGCAGGGTTGAGATGTCACACTTGGGGGTGAGTTTAGAGTCCAGACTTAAAGTGAACATCACAATGTCAAAAGTGTGCTTAAAAATCTCTTAGCGATTTGGATGTGGTGGTGCACACATGTAATCCTAGCACTTGGGAAGCTGAGGCAGGAGAGTTGCCAAGAGTTTGAGGTGAGCCTGGGCTACACAGTGAGTTCCAGGCCAGCCTGAGCTATACAGTGAAAACTTATCTCAAAAAACCAAGATAAAATAAACATTTTGTACTCTGGGAGGTTGAGGTAGGGTGGATTGCAAATTTGAGCCCAGCCTGGGAAATTTAGTGACTTAGCAAGACTCATGTTTCACAATAAAAATAAACAAATGAAAATAAAAAGTGCTGTCAATGTGGCTTAGTGTGACAACCGTGGGTTCAATCCTGAGTGTTGCAAAAAAAAAAAAAATCTATCTTAGCAAAAGACTTAGCACCATATTGAAGGTGAACACAGAATGAGCTAAACAGTTTGCTTTCTGGCATTGAGGCACACTGATAAAGCTTGTTTGTGTAACACACATGTATTTTAGAAGAAACATCAGAATCGCATACAGTGTATGGGCTGCGAGGCTTAGGCCATGTGTGGGAGCCAGGGCCAATGCATGACACTGAACGAAGCTATGCCTTGCACATCCTGGCTCCCGAAGCGCAGTCTCACTGAAGGGCAGGTGGACCGCTTTGTGCTGTGTAAATTATGTCAGCCCCTCTCTCTCTTCTTCTCTTTGGCTATCCTTCCTCTCTTATGTAGAAAGTATTTCTGCACTTGGTATACATTCTTTATGCTCGTCATTCTCATACACAAGGCTAAAGCTTTAATAAAAAGTCCGCTGAGTATTTTCATGATAGAACTCATGAAAATTCCCTAGTAGGTATTTGAAAAAAGGGGAGAGGCACTGCCAGACTTGGAGTGACACCCTCTTATCATCTGCTCACAGCACTGTTTGAAAACCACCAGAATAGCAGATTGGCTCTGCCCTGGCTGAAATACAAAGCATCCCCTAAAGACTCATGCAAGGAAGGCTCGATCCTCACACAGCCATGTTCAGAGCTGGGGTCCACAGATGTGACTCAGTCATGAGGCTACTCACCTCACCAATGGGCTAATACACCCGTGAGTTCATAGCTGAGTGGGCTGTTAGGAGGTGAGGCCCATCTGGGGGAAGTGGACCATGGGGACATGACGTAGGGGACTATACCGGATCTGGTCCCTGCCCTTTCCTCTCTGGCTCTTCCCTTGCTCTGACTCCTGGCTGTCGTGAGCTGACCAGCTTCCCTCCACCATGCCCTGCGGCCATGCTATTTCTGCCTTGGAACTGACTAACCTCTGAAACCATCAGCCAAAATAAACCTCTCTTCTTTTAAGTTATTTTTCTCAGGCATTTAGTTACAGTGATGGAAAAAAAAAATCTCCTTGAGGGTTCATTCTGACAAGGCCCTCCACGAATGGTTGGCTATGGGGAAGATTCTTTGATATTTCAGCTGAGATTACGTGGGAGGGAGATCTGAATACTGATCCCTCCTGGTGGATCAGACAACTGGCAAACACCATCCACAAAAACCCATGCTTAACGTAAACAAGCTGCTTTTGGATGAGCTCAGGGTAGTGGTGTGGGGAGGTTGTGGGGCTGTCCCTGAGGTGGCCCTGTGTGTTCCAAAGATGGGGATGGGCCTCCGTGGCTGAGAGGAGATGCTGAGGCAGCAACCAGCAAGCAAAGGTGACAAGTGTAACCAGCGGTCTGAGGCACCCCGGCTGTTCCTGCAAGGCCAGGCAGTGTGGTAGCCACGGCCCAGGCCATGCCTCTTTGTGTTTCTTGTCTTTTTTTTTAGTACTCTATCCTCAGCCCTTTTTAATTTTTAAGAGACAGGGCCTCACTAAGTCACTGAGCTGCCCAGGCTGGGCTCAAATTTGTGATCTTCCTGCCTCAGTCTCCCAGAGCATTTTTTGTCCTTGTCCTGATACAAAGAGTCCAAGGTGTGGCTTGATTTGCTGGGACCTGAAGGAGCCAGCCCCACACCAGCAGAAGGAGAAACTGTCTTTGAAACCAAGGGAGATTCACAGGTAGCTCCAGGCAACAAAGCAGGATGCAGTAAAAGCATTTCATCCCCTGTACTTGGATTCTCCTCTTCCTGGGAACCTAAAGGATTTCTTCTCACCCTCTCCCTGGGGGCTATAACACTGGGAGGGGGTGAATATAACATTTGTGTCTGTAGTTTGCAAGTCACATGGGAGTCCACTTCTTCTGGAAGAGGATAGACATGCGGGTGGGACAAGGAATGCCAGCCCACCCCTTCCAGTGTGGCCTGTCACCAAAGATAGGGGATGTTTCCCTGCAGCTGAGGCAGCTCCCTGCTGTGGGGACATCAGATCTTTTCCCACCCCGGCGGGTCAGCGCACCTGAGGTTGCCTTTGTTGGTGGCATACTTGATGTGGTTGCAGATGTAGTTGAACATCCCGTGTGCCGTGGTGCAGTCGCGGGCATCGAATACCTGGAAGAAGTGTGTGTGGGTCAAAGGCCTCCTCCTCCTCCTTCCCACAACCCAGGCCAGTCTGCCCATTCCCAAGAGCACACAGAGCCCATCCCAGCTGTGGGCCCACTGGAGTGATGGGCATCTCATGACTGAGGTCCAGGCTGTGTTTTATTACTTTCTATAACCTAGGCTAATAACCAAGGTCAATCAGAACAGGAAAAGTCCCCTAAAAGTAAGCATGGGGTGTAAGTGAATGGGAAAAAGGGATGGTAACTAAGGGTAGGAGTTTGAAAGGCCTGGTTATATTTTCTGTTAGGTTACTAGGGATAGGGATTAAAAAACAAACAGAATTCAACACCTCCCATCCTAATAACTAATGTACTTACAATATTAAATTGTTCCCTAGAATAAAGTCATACCAGGGGAAACAAGCTAATCTCTTCAGGGCGTAGGCAGAGAACAGAAATAAATCAAGAGAGGAGGCGTAAGACAAAAGGGAGTGGTAGGGTCTGTGGCAAACTGGAGAGCATAAGCTCTACCAGGAGATATGCAAATTCAGGTGAGAAAAAAGCAGTGTTTGCTGAACCAGACATTGCTATAGTCAGAATTTGGCTATAATCTGAGGATCTGGGATCTGGGATCTGGTAGGTCTCTATGGCCAATAGGTAAAAGGATTTGACCTTTTGCAAAGTTCCATCTGCTCCTCTTTCTCCACTCCCCCACCAAAGGTCTTCCAGGCCTCTCAACCTCAGCGCCCACCTGCAGCTTGGACCACTGGATCCTGCCAACGCAGCGGGCAGCATTCCGCCAGGCATGTTTGGCCCCATAGATGAGCTCTGTGTCCTTGAGCTGGTAGGTGCTAGTGCTTTCGATCTCCTTGTTCACTTCTTCCAGCCTGTCCATGTGGGCTTTGGAGCCAAATCTGAGTGAGGACAGAAGGGACATGGGAACATTACAGCTATAGTTTGGAAGGGTCCCCCAGTGGCCCATATGTGGAAGGCTCATGGCCATCCTGTGGTGCCGTTGGTGGGTAGTGGAAGCATTAAGAGGTGGGGCCCAGAGAGAGGAAGTTAGGTTATTGCGGGTGTGTCCTTGAATAGGACTGGGTGACTCAGCCCCTTCCTGTCTCTTTGCTTCTTGGCTGCCATAAGGTAAGCAGCTTCTCCTGCTACACACTCCTGTGCTGAGGTATTATGCTGCTACAAGTCCAAAAGTAACAGGGCCAGGCAACCAGGGACTGAACCCTCTACAACTATAAGCCAAAAGGAAACTTTTCCTCTTTGTAAATTGATCTTTCAGGTATTTAGAACAATGATAGAAAGCTGACAACACCATCACCCTCTCTTCTGAAGAACAGCTTGGGGGAAGGGAGAAGATAGTACAGTAAGCCACAGCCACAAAGCGCTCCAAGCTGATGTCAACACACAACAGTCTGAGTGTACAGCAGGCACTGTACAGTCAAATGCCCACAAAGGCCTACCAGTGTGGATGGGGTATACTGGCTGGGTGGGGACTGTGACAAAGAGACAAAACAGGTCCCCAAGGGGAATTCAGGACTCCACTCCAGCCGACCATCTGCATTACTGGAATGGGGTCTCCGGGCTGCCAGATCACATTGAAGAGATACTGGAAATCAATTTTTAAAGGGAACTCCTCCAAGTTTTAAATGTTGGCAATATGTCCAATTTGAGAAGGTTAAAATTATGGAAAACTTTAGGCCTGCAAGAAGGTATACAGAACAACAGAACAATACATCCTTAGGCTAAGAAATAATAGTACAGTTTTGTGGGAATGACTTCCCCACCATAGCCCCTCTCTCCCTTCAGGTGACTTTTACCTTTTCTGTGTGTGTGTGTGGTACTGAGGATGGACTCTAGGACCTTTCACATGCTAGGCAAAGGCTCTACCACTGAGCTGCACTCCCAGCCTTTTTAATTTATATTTTGGTGCTGGGGATTGAACCCAAGGCCCTGTGCATACTAAACGCATGCTCTACAACACAGCTACATCCCTAGCCCCTCCGATTTTAGATTTTCAGATTAGGAAAAAAGTCTATGCAAATATTCTCAGGTCTGAAAACTTTGAAATCTGAAATACTTTTGATCCGGAGCATTTTAGATAAAGGATATTCAATCCTGTACTCCATTACTGGAATACCACACCTTACTTATCCTTGTCCCATTGATGGAGCTGAGTGATTTCCTGAAGGTTTTTTTTTTATTTTTAAAATTACTTTTTAAAATTTTGAAACAGTCTTGTTAAGTTGACCAGGCTGGCCTTGAGCTTATGATCTTCCTGCCTCAGCCTCCTGAGTAACTGGGATTTGAGGCATGCACCACATATGAACTTTCTTTAGTTGTGATTTTTTTCCAGTGATAAATAATGTTTCTGTGTACATGACTTCTTATCCATAACTTCTTTTTTTTTTTTTCCGGTACCAGAAATCGAACTCACAACCTCGTGCTTGTCAGGCAGGCATTGTGTGACTGAGCTAAACCCCCAGCCCCTATGCATAACTTCTTATAAACAGGTATAAGTATTCTAGGTGTGGAATTGCTTGAAATGTTTCAATTTGAGGGAGGCAGTGTGTGGAGTAAACCCAGGGCTTCTGCACTGAGCTACAACCCCAGCCCTGTTTATTGTTTTTATTTTGTGACTGTGTCTTACTAAATTGCTAAGTTGCTTAGCCTGGACTCAAACTTGTGATCCTCCTGCCTCAGCTTCCCAGAGTCGTGTGCACCACACCCAGCTTGAAAAGTTTGAAATTTTCAGCAACCCTTTTGCAGGCCAAACAAACCCTTCTAGGGGCCAGCTCTGACCCTCTGGCTGCCAGTCTTTGACTTCTGTGTGTGGCGGGCAGAGGCCTTATGCTCAGGCTTGGTTCACCTGTCTGTAGTTGGAGCTTAAGTCCTTGTTCGTGGCACTCAATAACTTACCCTGGGGCTTCCCACAGTTGACACACACTTGCCTTTTAATCGATGAGTAGTACTGATCCAGGAACTCTTTGGCGAGGGGGAAGAGCTGACCCTTGGTGCGGACATCTTCGGGCCTTCGTGTGTGCTGAGGGGGCAGCATGATGGAGCCTATGCAGATGTGCTCCGTGCAGCCTGTTTCCTGCAGGGTAGAGAGACTCAGGCCATTGCTTTGCCAGGTGTGGGCTGCAGCCTAGGCTCTTATATGCATAGATAAGTTGATCTGGCTCTTAATTCCCTGGGGATTTCTCAGTGGTCAGCTTCAAATCATTGTTGGGTGTGGTCATCAGCCAAGGTAAGGAACAGGGAACCAGGTTTAAAGGTCCCTGAAATGTTTATTGTTGCCAGCTAGGGGAATAGGGGTGTTCTGAATAGGAGTCAGAATCATTGGTACTAAATTTCAAAATATGTTTTGATTCCACATTGATCAAGAAGAAACAATTGATTACAAAAATTGGTCCCAATTCTTTCTGTCCCTGTATTCTCTTTGTAACATAACTTTACAGCAACTTCCATGGGGAGGTAGAGCCTGTCTTCCCACTCCTTGGATCTGGGGTGGCTTTGGCCCATAAAATATAGCAGAAGTGACCCTGAGCCCAAGCCTGGGCTTCAAGAGACTTTGTATCCTTCTGCAAACATAGGCGGCAAGTCCAAGCTATCTTGCTGGGGGAGGAGTGTCTGGGTGAAACACAGTTATGTCAGCCAGAGCCACTTTACACCAGCCTGCCCTGAGCTGTCCCCTTGGGTGACTGAAGGCTCATGTGCTAACCTCACTGAGATCATCTGCGTTTGGTCCCGATCAGCAGAACCACCCTACTAATTCAGAAACTCTTGAAAAATAATACATAGTTTTTTTCCAGCCCCTTAAACTTTGGGGGCCCATTTGTTACACAGCAATAGCTACCTAATACAACATTCCTCCAAAATGCCCATTTTCAAAGATTTTAAAAAATGTATTGACCTTTAAAAATATGATATAGATATCTAGATGACATACTGCAAAATCAAGGAAAGGTTCATCAAATTCTCCATCAGTGGCCAAACTGAGACAATGAGAGTATTTTCAGAGCCAGCAACTGTCCTTGAATTCTGAAGGGTACAAGGTGCACTGATAAAAAGCATCTGCATAAGTGAGTGAGAATCCATCAGTGGTTCTCCAACAGGGATGAACTTCCTGTCTAGGGGAGGTTAGGAAATAGCTCTGGAAATCTTTTGGTTACTATACATGGGCTGGTGTAGTGACACCTAGGTGGATGGGAGAGGGGTGATGCTAAACATTGTGCCATGCATAGGACAGCTGCCACAGCCAAGCTGTATCTGGCTCTAAATGCAGGCAGGGCTGAGACAGAGCCACTCTGGTCTATACCCGGCTGGGTTACTCACCAGCGTGCTCTTGAGGTGGAGGGTGTCTGTGAGCACCACATCAGTCTCCCAGTTCTTGACCTTGAGGAAGCGGGGGCACTTGGAGGGGCTGCCATTCTTGGTGGGGGACTGTCTGCCTGAGGCAGGGGGCTGGAGGAGAGAATGCAGGTGAGCATTAGGCAGGGTCTTGAGGCCTCAGGGCCTTTGCATGAACTATTGTCTCCACCCTGAGCAACTTTAGTCACCTGTTTGTCTTTACCTCTGGAGACAAATGGACCCGCAGCAGTGGCTGGGAGACAGATAAGGCTCAGGCTGACCTGTGTTGGCCCATTGATTTGAGATCTTACTCCTAAGGATTCCATCTACCTTGCACGTTTTCAGGTGGTTGTCTTATTTGCCCAGGCAGAAGTGTTCCCATGTGTTAGACAAACATCAGTCACCCAGCAGCTAGAAGAGAGAGACAGCAAGCACACCCACTATGGAGGCCTAGCCAGGAGGGGAGTGACAGGCCGAAGGGTCTTGTGATGCTCGTACAGACAGTAGTAGATCAGTGTGGTGTGATTAAGGAGCTGATTCCCAGATGGAAGCCACAGAGAACACTGAAGAGCAGACACTGAAAACTAACGTTCCATAAGCACTTACTAGGTGTCAAGCAATAACTGTATTATTCCCATTTTACAGATGAGAAAACCAAGGAACTGTGGCTTTGTATGAAGAAGAGAGACCCAAGTACCTCACCTGCTGTCTCCCATCACGGGATGCTCTCTGCCAGGTTGGGGGGCAGCAGAGTATCCTCACCAGATGCCAGTGCCATGCTGGTGGAATTGCCAGCCTCAGGACCTGAAACCAAATAAACCTCTACTCTTTCCAGTTGCTCTGTCTGTGATGTTCAGTGATAGGCACAGATCATGTATACTAGGGTACTCATTAACACCTGTTAGTACCCCAGGGGCCGAGCCACAGAACCTCAGAGTGGGGACCGTGGCACTGGTGTTGGCTCTGGGCTTGGGAGGTGGACGGGTGGGGAGGGTGGCCAGGCATGAGGAGGGGTGGGGTGGGGGCGGGGCGGCAGCTGGCAGCCGTCTGTAACAGGCCTAGGAAAAGAGGCCATCTGCTGGGGTTCCAGATGTGCATGCGGCAGGGCACCCTCCACCTGGGGCTTCATGGGGCTGTGCACTGGAAACCGGGCATTAGGAGGCTGCTGGCCGGGCTGTTGTGTTTGGGCTTTGATGTTTTAATTATCCAGCGGCAACATGAGGGGACTCTGGAGGGGACAAATGGGGAGACTAACACAGCGGTCAGGTGCAGGGAAGTCCTCCTGCTCAAAATGCAGACTAGCAGCACTTAGCGGCTCTGATGTTGGGGACAGGGCACGAGGCGGCTTTGGGCTGTGGCTACCGCTGTCCTTTCCTGGCTTCCCATCTGCGACAGGACAATGGACGCTTTCAGGTGACAGGAGACATGGTCTTGCTGTGCCCATGGGCCTTGAACTCGGCAAAGCAGGCTGTGAACTCAGGGACATCTCAAAGCCTCTCTTGACACCTCCTTGAGAGGCCCTGAGCAGAGGTCTGGGCCAGGTCTGCAGGAGACTGCAAGGTCTCCCATGTACAGGGCGCTCAGCCCACCGCTGGGGAGACTGCACAGATGGCTGCCTGCTCGGAAGCAGGGGTCTGAAGACGGCAGCTGGGGGGTAGGGGGCACTCCCTGGGCCTGCTGCCGGCTTCTGTCCAGCCCCTGAGTGAAGAATGGTTTTTCTACTTTTAGACTGTTGACTATAAAAATCCAAAGAAGAATAATACTTTGTGACACATGAAAGTTATATGCAGTTCAAATTTCAAGCTCCATAAATAAAGTTTTGCTGGGCTCAGCCGCTCTCATTCGTTCCTGCCTTGTGTATGGGTGGCTTCTTTTGTACTCTGGTGGCAAAGCGGGGTAGGTGTGATGGGGCCCAAGACTGGACACCCACAAAACCGACACGATTTCTCATCTTGCCCTTTACATAACAAGTTTGTAGATGCTGGAGGGAAAGGGTCTAATTCTACGGGCTGAACACGGAGTGTCATGCATCACTGCTAGAGATTTCCTGATTTTTCTTTAAAACACCACCCAACCCTGCCAGACACAGTAGTGCATGCCTATGATCCTAGAACTCAGGAGGCTGAGGCAGGAGGATCGCCACAAGTTCAAGGTCAGCCTGAACTACACAGGGAGACCCTGTCTTGAAACAACAGCACAAAGCCCTAAAACATCACCCAGCCCTGTTACCCATGCTCCCTGCTACCTTTCTCATGCTTTAAATGTCTTCAGAGCGCTTGTCCCTGCTTGCAATAACTGTGATAGCATGTGTGCAAGAGCACATGTGCGTGTGTGCATGAGAGCATGTGTGTGCATTCTGAGAGCTTGTGTGTGTGCATGTGTGGGAGCATGTGTCTGTGCATGTATGTGTGTGTGCAGGTGAGGAAGCGTGTGTATGTGTACATGTTTGAGCACATGTACACATACATGTGACAGCATGTGTGTAGTGTGAGAATATGTATGTCACATGTGCATGCATGTGAGAACATGTATGTGGCATGTACATATCTATATATCTTTACAGCTTATTACTTTATATATACATATACTTAGATAACACAGGTGTCTCTCGGTATCACAGGCAGCTGGTTGCTTTGAGGGCCAAAATCACGGATGTTCAAGTCTCTTATATAAAATGATGTAATATTTGCATAAAACCTGTGCATGTCCTCCTGCATAGCTTAAATTATCTCTGAAGTACTTATGATACCTGACACAATGTAAATGCTATGGGCATAGTTGTTGCACCGTATCATTTAGGGAATAATGGCAAGATAAAAAAGCTGCACGCACATTCAGTATAGGTGCGATTTTTTTCTGCACAGTTTCTATCCGCAGTTGGTTGAATCTATGCATACAGCGTCTGGGATGCAGAGGGCTGAGTGTGTTTTCTGACTGCCCACTCTTCAGCCTGCTCTGTCCCCACCCCTGGGACAGTGGCACCCCCACATATGCTCGACAAACATTTGAGGTCTGAATTAGACTGAGTTGTGTCTTGCCAAGTTCACATGTCAAAGCCCTATGCTACAGCGTGTCTGCATAGGTGACAGAGCTTTTAGGAGATAACTAGTAATCTCCCAAAATATGAGTAGGGTGGTGCCTTCACTAGTAGTATTGGTGGCCTCTTCCTCTCTCCTACATGGGGACACAGGGGGAAAGCGCTCATCTGCAAGCCAGGAAAGAGGGTCCTCCTTGGAACTGGGCTATGCTGGTACCCCGATCTCAGACTTCCAGGCTCCCAAACTGTGAGAACATACATTTCTGCTGTTCTAGCTGCTCGGTCCACGGTGAAATACAAAGTCTAAGTGAATTTTAGAATTGCAGAGTCACTTCTGCTCCGCAGAGGAGTCTGCTCTTGCTTTAGTGGAGAACAGAGAAGCCCTGCAGCTGCCCAGCAGGGCGAGTGACACCATCAAAGCCATGTGTTAGGAGTATGGACGCTCCCTGACCCGCCACGGGGCCACAGTCTGCCAGGGCCCATTGTATTCTGAAAATATCATAAGTTGCAAATGCATCTAATCTGCTTAACAGCTTAGCAACACAGCACACTGTGGAGTGTTGGTTGTTTCCCTGCTGATTGCATGGTTGATCGGGAGCTGTGGCTTGCTCCCCCTAACCAGCATGGAGGGAGAATCATCCCGCACACCCTTGCCCAGGAAAAGATCCAAATTCAAAATTCCAGGTATGATTTGTACTGAATGCATCCCACTTTCGCACCGCTGTCCAGATGAAAACTCCTAAATCAAATCACTGCGTATGGGGCTTGGGGTGGGTCCTTATGTGACCCGGACGACAGGCTAAAGGGTGCAGATTAAGAGACAATGGAGGGAGAAAGGAGAGGTCAGTGTGGACTTGCGGCTCCAGTCTGCATGCAGGAGGACCAGTGAGCCTTTTAGGGGATGGTGGGAAGTAGGGTGTGGGAGTCTGGGGCAGAAGGACAGACAGCATGAGAACCAAGAAGACGTAGACACAAAGGCCAAGCACTGCCCTTCCCGACAACCTGCAGTTGGGTCACATCACTGCCCCTGCAGTTGGGCCTCAGGGACACCAGCTCTGAGAGCTACGGTAAGGGAGGGGAGCACTTGCAAGACCCAGAACATCTTTGGAGCTGCTTGTGGCTGAACTGTGTCCCCCTACGCTAATTCATATATGGACACCTCTGAGTGTGATCTGATTTGGAAATAGGGTCTTTGTAGAGGTGATCCCATTAAGATGGAGATGTTAGGGAGCTATTTGATCCAATACAGCTGCTATACTGAGAAAAAAGGGAAAGTTGGGCTGGCCATGGTGACACACATCTGTAATCCCAACACTCTGGGAGGCTGAGGTGGGAGGATTGCAAGTTTAAGCTTAGCCTGGACAACTTCGTGAAAACCTAGCGATCAGTCAGTGGGGTAGGGATATGGCTCAGTGCAAAAGCCCTGCGTTCAATCCCAAGTATCAAAAAAAATTTTTTAAGGGGCTGGGGATTTAGCTCAGCGGCAAAGCGCCTGCCTGGCAAGCGCAAGGTTGTGAGTTCGGTTCCCGGTACCGGAGAAAAACCAAAAAAAAAAAAAAAAAAAAAAATTGCCTTTAAGGTCAGTGAGGACAGAATCTCAGTGTGGGGATGGGTATTTGACCTTAAATGAGGAAAGAATTTCTTTTTCAAAG